ATATGAAATTCTTTTTATTGATATATTTCTCCCTAAATCAATTTGGAATGTGTTCGAGGGGACCTGAGGAGTCTTTCCAGGAAGTTTGGAGCACTTTCATTTTTTGACCAAAATTGACAAAAATTGCAAGGGGTTAGCCTTACATGTTTAATGAAATTTGTCCAAAATATGAAATTCTTTTTATTGATATATTTCTCCCTAAATCAAGTTGGAATGTGTTCGAGGGGACCTTAGGAGTCTTTCCAGGAAGTTTGGAGCAATTTCATTTTTTGACCAAAATTGACAATAATTGCAAGGGGTTAGCCTTACATTTTTTATGAAATTTGGCCGAAATATGAAATTCTTTTTTTTGGATATATTTCTCCCTAAATCAAGTTGGAATGTGTTCGAGGGGACCTTAGGAGTCTTTCCAGGAAGTTTGGAGCACTTTCATTTTTTGACCAAAATTGACAAAAATTGCAAGGGGTTAGCTTTACATTTTTTATGAAATTTGGCCAAAATATGAAATTCTTTTTATTGATATATTTCTCCCTAAATCAAGTTGGAATGTGTTCGAGGGGACCTTAGGAGTCTTTCCAGGAAGTTTGGAGCAATTTCATTTTTTGACCAAAATTGACAAAAATTGCAAGGGGTTAGCCTTACATTTTTTATGAAATTTGGCCGAAATATGAAATTCTTTTTTTTGGATATATTTCTCCCTAAATCAAGTTGGAATCTGTTCGAGGGGACCTTAGGAGTCTTTCCAGGAAGTTTGGAGCACTTTCATTTTTTGACCAAAATTGACAAAAATTGCAAGGGGTTAGCCTTACATTTACGAGGTCCCCTCGAACACATTTCAACTTGAGTTAGGGACAGATATATCAATAAAAAGAATTTCATATTTTGGCCAAATTTCATAAAAATGTAAGGCTAACCCCTTGCAATTTTTGTCAATTTTGGTCAAAAAATGAAAGTGCTCGAAACTTCCTGGAAAGACTCCTAAAGTCCCCTCGAACACATTCCAACTTGATTTAGGGAGAAATATATCAAAAAAAAGAATTTCATATTTTGGCCAAATTTCATAAAAAATGTAATGCTAACCCCTTGCAATTTTTGTCAATTTTGGTCAAAAAATGAAAGTGCTCCAAACTTCCTGGAAAGACTCCTAAGGTCCCCTCGAACACATTCCAACTTGATTTAGGGAGAAATATATCCAAAAAAAAGAATTTCATATTTCGGCCAAATTTCATAAAAAATGTAAGGCTAACCCCTTGCAATTTTTGTCAATTTTTGGTCAAAAAATGAAATTGCTCCAAACTTCCTGGAAAGACTCCTAAGGTCCCCTCGAACATATTTCAACTTGAGTTAGGGACAGATATATCAATAAAAAGAATTTCATATTTTGGACAAATTTCATAAAAATGTAAGGCTAACCCCTTGCAATTTTTGTCAATTTTGGTCAAAAAATGAAAGTGCTCCAAACTTCCTGGAAAGACTCCTAAGGTCCCCTCGAACACATTCCAACTTGATTTAGGGAGAAATATATCCAAAAAAAAGAATTTCATATTTCCAGGAAGTTTGGAGCACTTTCATTTGGAATGTGTTCGAGGGGACCTTAGGAGCCTTTCCAGGAAGTTTGGAGCAAATTCATTTTTTGACCAAAATTGACAAAAATTGCAAGGGGTTAGCCTTACATTTTTATGAAATTTGGCCAAAATATGAAATTCTTTTTATTGATATATTTCTCCCTAAATCAATTTGGAATGTGTTCGAGGGGACCTGGGGAGTCTTTCCAGGAAGTTTTGAGCACTTTCATTTTTTGACCAAAATTGACAAAAATTGCAAGGGGTTAGCCTTACATGTTTAATGAAATTTGTCCAAAATATGAAATTCTTTTTATTGATATATTTCTCCCTAAATCAAGTTGGAATGTGTTCGAGGGGACCTTAGGAGTCTTTCCAGGAAGTTTGGAGCAATTTCATTTTTTGACCAAAATTGACAAAAATTGCAAGGGGTTAGCCTTACATTTTTTATGAAATTTGGCCGAAATATGAAATTCTTTTTTTTGGATATATTTCTCCCTAAATCAAGTTGGAATGTGTTCGAGGGGACCTTAGGAGTCTTTCCAGGAAGTTTGGAGCAATTTCATTTTTTGACCAAAATTGACAAAAATTGCAAGGGGTTAGCCTTACATTTTTTATGAAATTTGGCCAAAATATGAAATTCTTTTTTTTGATATATTTCTCCCTAAATCAAGTTGGAATGTGTTCGAGGGGACTTTAGGAGTCTTTCCAGGAAGTTTGGAGCACTTTCATTTTTTGACCAAAATTGACAAAAATTGCAAGGGGTTAGCCTAACATTTTTATGAAATTTGGCCAAAATATGAAATTCTTTTTATTGATATATTTCTCCCTAAATCAAGTTGGAATGTGTTCGAGGGGACCTTAGGAGTCTTTCCAGGAAGTTTGGAGCACTTTCATTTTTGACCAAAATTGACAAAATTTGCCTTACATTTTTAATGAAATTTGGCTAAAATATGAAATTCTTTGTATTGATATATCTGTCCCTAAATCGAGTTGGAATGTGTTCGAGGTGCACTAAGGAGTTTTTCATAAAGTTTCGAGCAAATTCATTTTTTGACTAAATTGACAAAAATTGCAAGGGGTTAGCCTTACATTTTTAATAAAATTTGGCCAAAATATGAATTTTTTTGTACTGATATATCTGTCCCTTAATCGAGTTGGAATATGTTCGAGGTGCCCTTAGGAGTCTTTCCAGGATGTTTGGAGCAATTTCAGTTTTTTACGGGCGATTTATTTTGGTCGCCCCTAGCGGTCACAACCGCTGCGGGCGACATTTAATGGTCGCCCCTAGAGGTGGAAACCTTTAATCGAGTAGGAATGTGTTCGAGGGTCGGAGTCTTTCCAGGAAGTTTGGAGCTATTTCATTTTTTTCACCAAAATTGACAAAAATTGCAAGGGGTTAGCCTTACATTTTTTTTAAATGAAATTTGGCCAAAATATGAATTAGCGGTACGATGCTATAAAAAAATCATACAACCTCCAGGGGCGACCCTGGAGGTGTTCAAATACCCAAAATTTGGAGGATTTTGGCAAGAATGACCTTAATTTTTACTTCTCCCCCAAAACGTGGACTCAATTTTCTTTTAAATTGTCTATCGATCTGTCCAATAATGGAGTTGGAATGTGTTTAAATCTGCAAGTATGTATTTGGGGGTGGATGGGTGGGAGGGGGGGGGGGGGAATAGGTGTGGCACTCACCCTAAACAAACAGACTACAAAGTTTTACAATTGAGGTAAACAATTTGTATTGCTACTTGGAATCATGCCCAATTTATTACATTTCAAGAAAACAAACATTACGATGACGATCAACAAAACATATTAAATATGTACATCAACAACACTTTTAATTTCAGACTAGCCTTCAGTCAAGTCCCACGCGCTTACCCAGACACGTGACGCACCCCGGATGCTGACACGTAAAAAGACTAGCACGAGCGGCGAAGCCGCGGGGGCCTTTACCATCTCGTGGAGAACGCTTATGTTTTTCTTTACATTTGTCTACCGATTTGGTAGACATGCATAATGCATTACCCGTTGTGAATTGACCAATGAAAATGCAGAATTACCCAAGTAAATCAGCCGTCGTCTGGCGCCAGACAGCACGCGCGCCATTGTTGCTGGTAACCGCAAACCACCGTTAGATGATTGGTTTATATTGCTTGATTTATATTACGTGAATAAATGAGTAAGTGATTAGTTCCACGTGATAGTAAAGGCCCTCGCGGCTTTGCCGCTCGTGCTAGTCTTTTTACGTGCCAGCATCCGGGGTGCATTACGTGTCCGGATGGTCCGGGTATAGGCGCGTGGGACTCGACTAAAGGCTAATTTCAGACAAGCCTTGAACATTTTTAAAAACTTAAAATTGGAGAGAAGTAATACAAGAAAGTGGAAACAGAAGAACAAGCTCTCATTATAAGGCCAAATTATATAATGGTAAAATAAAAGGAGAATGCTCCTAAATCAATCCAGAATTCATTAGTAATATGATGAGTATCATTCATGATTGATATTTCATTATTTTATTCATAGAAAAATATTGTGCCATCTGAATGTTACCAGAAAAATTTGATTATATTTGCGGCAGAATTACTGCACAATAACCACAATATTAAATTAGGCGAAACCACACCATGAGTATCTTTTCAGTGAATTTGTAGAGATGATCACTTGTTGCAATTATTGCATCTGGCTATTTGGCATTGGTGACATTCTGGTAACTGTAGTAACATTTCAAACAGATCTTCATTTAAAAAAATGAAGAAAAAAAAGTATAATCAAATAACACAGTAAAAAAATCCAATATTCCGTTACGCTATATTTTGTAAAGAAAACAACAATTGATACAAAGTTAGCTATATTGATATACTGAACGAAATCGTGTACATCAAGGTTTAATCAATTCTATCACAAAGATTTCCTTATAAAAATGTGACAGTAAATTAATCACATAATCAGCCCGATATAATGTGTTTAAATTTCAAACTACATGTACATGTAAACGTGTAAATGTGCCAGATTTTTGCTTTCAGGGAAGTTACTCCAACTGATGATTATTCTAGTCAATTTGGTTCTCTTCGGTTTTAACAATTCATTCAGGGCAATGATTTTTTTTTTTCTGTTTTAATTACTTTATAAAAGAAAGGTTTGCGAAAACACCATGTGCGAATAATTTCTCAACTGTCTTAGTTGAGAAATTATTCGCACATGGCGTTTCCGCAAACCTTTCATTCATTAGTATCTCCACCATGCAAAGCCTTAAATCTTACTTTGGTTTTTGTTTGGTTTTCTTGTCATTCCTCTTTTGGTTTTATGTGAGTTTTCTTTTTGTTAGTTTTAGGTACACGTTTAATTCTACATCATGTCTCTGAGTTCATTATTTAAATCAAAACTCAGTTATATTTTGGTGACCCAGTTGGTTTACATTTGGCTTGGATCTGATCCTGTTAGGGTTGAAATGTTTACCAATCTTTTTTTAGGGGGTGGGGGAATTCTTGTTTGTTTTCTTAGTTTCTAAATGTGACCGGCATCACAAAAAAGGGTATTAAGTCACGCCATGCATTATTTTGTAATGGCCCGCTCAACGTTGAGAGGGTGAAGATTTCATCAAAATGTGATTTTCATTTTTTGTCATAAACAACATCTTTAATACATACAGTTTCAGGGTTCATTCACAGAAATGTCGATTTTGATGAACAAAGTAGAAAACACAACCCTTTTGTGTGCATCGTTCTGTTGATCTACTACAAAGCCAGCCATTTCAAAGCCTGTTTTCTCAGTTGTGTAATTTGAACTCCAGGGATGTAATTCACATGCAAATACGTCATATCTCCAGACCAGGAGAGGCTATGGAGCTCTATTATATACCAAATGAAAGCTTACGTTGTGGGCTTTCCAACCATGTATGCAACTCAATTTCACCTTTTTGTGACATAACACCTTTTTTTTTTTTTAAGTTTGCTCAAATTCAATGGTGGCTCCATTCCGGACCTCTCCGGATCCGCCCTTGTAATTAATCCCTTGCATAGAATTTTAAAGGTTGTTTAAATTTTATTCACAATCAAAGTCCAAAGTATTCTTTGAAATTTGATTGTCTTTGCTGGGGGGGGGGGGGGGAGGGGACAGATTTACTTGATGTACGGTACCAGGTTCTGCACAAACCATGTCTCAGTGAACTGCAGGTGATCGGTGGGGGACGTCAGGAATACCAGCTTCCCTTGCTTATCCATTGCCTTCAGGCCCAACTTGTCCTGAGAAGCGAAAGAGAAAACAAAAGAAAATGTCAAAATTAGATTAAGTAGTTTTTGCTTTGACATCAAAGGGAATATACAACATTTGCTTTTGTAGTAATTTTGAGAATTGGACGGACTTGGGGGGGGGTAGTATTTTATAGCAAATAGTATTACACTATTAAACCTGTTGACGTTTTGTGTTCATAGATGTTGGAAAAACCAAGAAAAACAATCACGTTCTTATAGTCTGATTCGATAGTCTTGATAGTCCTGACTCCACTTAAGATGAAACAGAGCTATTTATAGACTGCAGGGAATTTTAAGGTCAGGGAACCAGTCAAGTTGGCTAGTTCATAGGTGGGTAATCCATTGCAGATTAACTAATTATGGTAAATGGGGGCAGTATTTGAAAAAAAATAGCCAGTTTTTTCCAACGCTGGTCAGCGTTGATACAAACATACCACTTTTCTTAAAATGTCAGCATGCCAGGTGCCATGATTTTACAGGATGCTTTAGACTGTCATTCACTAACGGTCCAGTAAGGTATTTCAAAATAATTTGGTAATTTGCTTTTTGATATTTGCAAATGCTGTATATTCCCTGTAAAGGACTATTCAATTTAAATTCAATTTTCAAATTTTCCATGAACCGTAGCAGTCCTGAATGAGAATCTTCCAATTTCAATATGATTGTTCATACACTCTTGGGAATGAGGGTTAAATATGGCAAAAAGAGTCAGGTTGGCGTAGCTGGTACTTCTCTGTGACCCGGGTTCGATTCCTGCCTGGACCAATATGTGGATTGGATTTTCAGTCCCTGCCTGATTCTGTGGGTTTTCACCAGAATATACTACTCTCAGGTTTTACTGGGCCCCACGGGAGGCCAGTGGATTCCACTGAATAGGCTACACAGATAAAAAAAAAAGATGTTGGACCAGCATAATCAAATTATATCATAACTCAATATTAAAACATTCTGATTCCAAACTGAACTTCATTTCTAAGTATCTTCACCATAGTGCACACTTAAGAAACAAAAACCAAAATCTTAAGATTCAAGGGAGCTTATCTTACCTGTGTGTAAAGTGGACTCTCCTGCAGGGTGTACACCTCCTTATCTTGTCCAGCCTTGTAAAAGCCAAACCACTACAATTTGAGGGGGGGGGCAGAGAAAAAGAAATTGTGATGAACGTTAAGTTAAACAAAGTTAAAATTAACCTGATAACCAAATCATGCGCCCAATTAGATCAGTGGCTTTCCACAGCTGTTTCTGTATTAAACATAAATCTCTCCAATGTAAATTCCGCCATTCAAGATTGTGGTAAAGTTACTTGCTCAAGAACACAAGTGGAAGATGCTTATTTTGAAACCTTTGACGGGAGTATATTTCCATTAAAAAATGAGTTAATGTAATAGATAAACGACTTTGTTCTATCGTATGCTTGGATACTGTCATTTCATTGGTTTAGAACTGCCACGGGTCTGGTATATTAAAACGCATGTCACACATTCAGGGTGATATCGCACCGTGTTTATTGTGCGCATTGAATTCTGTGATAAAGAGATTGCGTGATAATTACCTCGCTCTCCTTGGGTTGGACCATGGTGTCGTTGCCAAACATCACCATCACAAACTTCTTCAGCTTCTGCAGGTTCGTCTTGTAGGTTTCATTGACTTTCTGTAAATGAATGTCACAGAAAACAAATAACCCAGTTAGCCGAAGGCTTGATTGACAGACCTCACAAGTCAAAGACAAGTCAAAGACAAGTCAAGGAAAAGTCAATGACACGTCAATCACAAGTCAATCACAAGTCAATCACAAGTCAATCACAAGTCAATCACAAGTCAATCACAAGTCAATCACAAGTCCATTGGTTTCAAGACAGATCATCACAGATTATCATCTCTGGTCATCCCAAATATCATCAAAGATTATCATCTCAGATCATCACAGATCCCATCTGCAACACTCAATGGAGGCACAATGTTCGGACGTCAAATGTTACAAACTGTTTCAAGGGGATGTCATCAAATATTCATGTCAATCACAAGTCAAATCATAAAGACAATTACATGTGACATTTGGTAAATAGTGACAAGGGACATTGTCACAGTTTATGTAAAATAGCTCGTCACTTATGCTAGATTGGATCACTTGTCACTTCGCAGTGATTGACAGGAAACTTTTCAGAAATTGTGATGACTTAACTATAATAGTACCAGCACCATTTGCACTGGATATGAAATAAAGCTTAATAACAAGAATGGGTTTCTAAAGCCCAATTCAATTAGGTGGACTCTCAATCACATCATTATTGCCCCTGTTCATTAGGCTCCAAAACAAAATAAAGCTCCATGCTGCCATTTTGGCTAATTTAAAAAAAAATCAATGACAATAACTATCTCTGCCCTCACATTTACTCCTAGGTGGGGAGAAGCAATGAGTGACAAAGTGCCTTGCCCACGGGCACACGCACCATAACCCCAGGCTGGACTCGAGCCCGCAACCAGACCATGAGGCCATGGTACTCCACAAAACCTACGTTTCTTTTATTTAGATTAATTCATTTGATTGACAGGTGGGTTTGGTCCTCACGTTCTCCTGGTTGATGTCAGCCAGATAGATACTCTTCTGTCTGTACTCTGCCTCGTTCAGTGGGTCCTGCCAGTACTCCGCTTGCACCAGGCTAAAAACAAATCGCAAAACAACAAATCAGTCGCAGACAATTGCCAAACACTCTTTAGTTTAAAGGGAATATACAACATTTGCGAACATCAAAAAACGAAATACACAATTATTATGAAACACCTTACTGGACTGTTAGCGAATGAAAGCATCCTGTATTAAATCACGGCACCTGGTGTGCTGTCATTTTTAAGAAAAGTGGTAATTTTGTATCAATTTCAAACGTTGGTCGGCCGACCAGCATTGGAAAAACTGACAATAGAATCAAAGTTATATTCCTCTGTATTTATTCTCCTCAATGTTTCTTGAGGAAATAATCCCCAATTGTTTATATGTCAGTAATTACTTCCAAAGTCAGTTAAAGAGGGCAAAAAAGAAGAATTATAATACTTACTTGTCTTGTACAAATCTGCCCATTTTGGATTTCATGCAAGGAAAAGAATAAAAAAAAGGACAATTAATATCAAATGAAATTTATATTTAAAATTGTTAGATGATTGTAAACGGTCATTTTTTTTTTCATTTTCTTTATAAAATATTTGAAGAATATTAGGTTAAAAGATAATATCAATGTCATTGATATTATTATAAATCCAGTTGCTTATTTAGGTTTTGGTTCTGAGTGGAAGGCAATTACCAATACAAAAACCTAATTACAAGCAGGGGTATGCTAGTACCAACAGGAAAGTGCTTGTACCCTTAATTCCAACAAAAAGGAGAAATATGTTGCTATTGGGATGTCCCCCCCCCCCTTTCAGTCTCCTCCCCTCCCCTTTTGGACTTGATAATTACTTACGAAATATAGGCACCAAGGTTCAGCAGTTTCCTCATATAGTCGCACAGGGAAACTGATGCCCCAGGACATCTTGGGAAGCCAAAGACACCTTCAAAAATAAAAATAATAATAATTATAAATTATACAGGCAGGGAGTTTATGTTCAGTTTAAGTCAGTGGTACTATAATAGTGTGCAAAATAGTTCAAAAGGCATTGTTGTAGTTGAATCGATAGTTGAGTCGATCACAAGTCCAGGTCACAAACAAATCACAGGTCAATTTGCTAGTCTGGTCACAAGTAGTCTTGGTCAAGGCATTCGACTTTAGTGTCCGGTGGTCAATTGTCGGCCGCTACCATTAACAGTAGCCACGCACGCTATGCACTCACACGTACTGTACAAAGCGCAAACAGCAACCTCACGCGGCTAGGCTACAAATATGCCATCTGTTGGTGCTGAACGAATGCCTTGAAACAGCCTTGGCTTATGTTTTTTTCTTATTTCGTAGCTGTATTTCCCGTATGTGAATAAAGATGAGATTATCATTCAGTACTTGGTCGTGGAGGCTCATATTTTACATTGAGAGAGAGCTGGATAGTGTGGCTACATTCTCCAACAAGTTTGGAGTCCGCAGACCAAATATAACTCGATATAAATCCAGCAACAAGTCAATGAAAGTTGCCCCAAAAAGTAGGTCATCGCCACTGTTGTTCCAAGGTGTTTCAACCAGCACCAACTGATTTGAATATTAAAACATAGCCGCGCTTCGTATATTATGTGTGAGTGTATAGGCCACGGCTACTGTTTAGTGGCCGAAAATTGATAATTGGACACTATCGTCGAAAGCCTTGACCAAGTTTAGGTTACGAGTCACAAAGGAATGCTTTTGTCACAATCTGTTTGAGTACCTTGTGACTTAACTAATAGGACTGGATGGCTTGTGATGGACTAATGATGGACTTGCAACTTAAGTTATGATGAGTTTAACTCATCATACATTGTAAATATTTTGAAATCATTCATGGTGGCCATCGTAAGTAATAAAATGATATCCATCATAACATAAGAGTGATTGTAAAGCTTTGTTTAGGGCCATACCTTGATGCTGTCCTCCCACTGAAATCAGGTTGAACATTGGAGGGCTTGGGCATCTCTGGGCCACTGTTCTCCTTCAAAGACAAACAAAAAGTTAAACAAAAAAACGTGGTCAATATTTAGGTTCAAACATCAAAGACAAGAAAATTGGTCATTCAATTTCAATTTGTGTTTCAGTTTATTGACCCTCAGTAGTGTGCCCTAGTATTTAGGATGTTATTAAGTTATCCCTTGAGCGCGAGTGGAACACGGAATAATGTAGCGTGTCTGTGTCCCACATGCCACGAGGTTAAAGGCCGAGTGGTGTCGTTTGTTGCCATGGATCGACCAATCAGCATCGAGGATTCAAGTTTGCTTGAAGATAATAATGCTTATTAAATGGCCTTTTCATTTGTTGTCGACTCAAACTAGGTCCTTCCTTGTTCAATCCTAGTGGACACGTCAGAAAAACTATAGTTTAAAAGATATTTTTTGGTCTGCTAGTCAGGTTGGGGAGTCAGGTTGGCGTAGCGGTACTTTCCTTGCCTTCCGCAGTTGTGACCCAAGTTCGATTTCTACCTGGGCCAATACATGGATTGGGTTTTCAGTCCCCACTTGATTCCCTGGATTTTCCTCAGAATATTCTTCTGGAGTTTTCCTCCCACATCTAAAACAGTAATCTCTTCACACTGTCTTCTCTTTACTGGGCCTCGTGGAAGATCAGTGGATTCCACGGAATGGGCTACCCAGTTAAAATAAGTACAAAATGAATAAATATAAAAAAAAAGTTTTGAGCTCAATTTCATGCAGCTACTATTAATATTGCTCTAACTTCAACATTGTGTGCTCAGTAATAAATAAGCAGGGAAGCAGTCAAAGGCAATGTACATCACATGGCATTTTAGCTGGTCACCTCTTTGTGTTAAGCAAACTATTTTTGGTGCTTAGCATATTCTGTGCTAAGGATCTTGGTGAAAACTGGCCGATGTTTGTTCGCACAGATGCACATGACACAGATTGACCAAAGATCAAGTAGTCACTGTACACATGTCACAACACTTGAAAGCACTCCCTGACAATGCTAGTAAAACTGATCAATCATATAAAAATACAAAGACTGATAAAACACGGGTAAAGTCTGGCAAACCAGTCACACACTAGGTTGCAGAGGAGGTCAGTGTTCATGGTTAAGCAAACAAACCATAAAGTTGGATGACTTTAGTGTTTTAGTAGGACTCACCTTTTTCTGAACTTTCCAGCAATTTTATGAGGTGGAAAACTTGGATTTGGATGGAAAATGTTTCTCACAAATAAGCCTTGGCTTACGAAGTTCCACAACTTTCCACATTTCAGTGTCACTTACCAGCAACTTTCCAGCAAGTTTATGGAAAACTTAGATTTGGATGGACAGTATTTCACACAAACAAGCCTTGGCTCACAAAGTTCCACAAGTATCTTTACTTTCTACTTACATGTATCTCAATTAATTGTGATCTTACTCATGGTTAGGCTTGTGGTTTACTTGTGATTACACTTGATTACATGCGATAGCTTTGATCATCTTCAAGTTGAAGACAATCCTCACAATTTGATCACACTCACAGCTAGCATCAATTCGAGTTTCGTTTCGACCTAACTATAACAAGGGCATTCATCTCTCATTGTTTGTCCTCAAATACTTGTGATTTTACTTATGATCTGACATACATTGAACTTTTGTTTTTGCTGGATCCGAAGGCTAAACTTTTATCCTCTGACTGAGTGAGTCTCTGACTGGCTGACTGACTGAATTCCCCCCCCCCCCCCCGAGTCACTGACTGACTCCCCGACTTACTAACTGACTGGTTTGGTCAATGAGTATCTACACCGTCTCAAACTGTGCCTTTTGTTGCAGCTCAACTAGACAAGTCTAGTCGATTGATGACAGCTAGACTTGACTATACTCTGATGAGGGAGTGACTAGATATTGGAAGGGGTGCTAGGTCGGGGAACGGGTGCTAGGTCGGGAAAAGGGGACATTACTCGGAGGCTGCTAGCTAAGGGGGTGGGGAACTAACTTACAGAAATTGACCCCCTTGTGAGAAGCCCATGGAGTTGTAGCCGTTGGCCAGTTTGGGGTCAGACTTGATCTTCTGGCAGGCCATCTCCACTTGCTTGTTGACATTCAGGAGGAAGCCGTTTGTGGTGTCCTACAAATATTTGAAATTGAAACGCAAATAAGTTTGAAAATGAACGGCACACCAGTAGGGTTGTCCCGAATTTACCGCATACATGTATTCGAATACTTGACCATCAACCAAATATTCAAATAACTTTTCCCTGGTTTGAACATTAAAGCCAGAGTCCATCATTTACAGCTATCCAAAAAGTAAAAAAAAACTGACATAATTTTTGTTGAAAAACATACTTGGTTGAAAGATAGTAAGGGGACTAAACTCCCTGCGAAATTATTCTTTCTGGCAAACTGTCATTTTGAAGAAATCAACGAAAGAAGGCCTTTCCAACAGCGCGTCTTAAAAAGCACCGTGGTTGTTATAATTCGTCAGATCGGTGCACCACCTCGCGTAGCTGCAATCGGCTCAGTAAGAACGTGTTTTGGACGCTGAATTCAAGCCCAATTCAAAACATGATTCAGCAACTTTTGATTTGAAATCGAGCTCCTAGAATGTTGTTTTTCTCGAAATATACAGCTGAAGCTGAGCTGAAACTTCATCAGGTTATTGTTCAGTACCCTTCTTTAGATTTTCAGTACTTTTGTTGCTTCAAAGGAACAAAATGCACAAATTACAAATGATGGACTATACCGTTAAAAAAAGATACGCACGTGCGCACTTGACTGTGGTGTCATTTTAATCGTAAAGTTGAGGTTTTATTTTCAGATGCCACTGTTTGTCGATGGTAACTTCCTTGTTGACACCTATTTATTGGTCCCATTCTTTTTAGCTGGGTAAAGTTCCTGGACAGTGGGCAGTTATACAGTGTTGGAGCTAATTTCAAATAATACAAGAAGAATATTCTAAAAAACTTTGGATGAAAAAAAACCCCAAAAATTGAAAATGTCGCTAGCTGGGAATTAAACCCTGCTGGGGATCTGTTATTCATGAGATACATGTGCTATCCACTCGTCCACGGGTCTTGCAAAAAAAAAAACGATGATGGTGATAATTTAATACCTTTTATAGTGTAGGCCTACTCATGTACTCATCAAAGAGGGCGCTGTGCAATCTAACTGGTTAAATATCATTTACTGAAAGAAAGCCAGCTAAATCTAGCTGGCTAAATATGCACTTCCTTGGTTAAAAGCAGTCACTCTGACTTGTTTCATATATAGCCTTGACTCAGGAAGGGTCGTACTTATAAGCGTCAACACAGCGTCAACACATGATAGAAGCCTCAACACACCGTCAACACTGCCAAAACGCATTCTAAATTGACAAAAAAGGCATAGAACAGTAAACTTTAGACTTAAAGAGATTTTTGGTGGGTCAGATGTTACATTTTGTTCACGAAAATGGATTTTTTTTCACGCGAAAAATATCTCTTAAGCAGCACTGCCGTTGTCCGCCATCTTGCCTTCACATGGAGCTTGGGCTACAACATTTAAGATATGGGTGTGCAGGTTAAATGAAATTATCATGTTGTATGCGGATTCACACCTAATGGCCGCCCTTTGTTGCTTTATTGTATATTGCTATCACCCCTTTTGCCTAATGGTATCGTCCGCGCTGCCCTGAAGCAACATGGCTACCGATTTCGGGGCTGCACTGAGAGCCAATTTTCTTGAACGGAAAATTGCAATTTTCAGATGTTTAACCTATTGATTTTGAGCCAAAATTTTATTTTTGCCCATACTGTTCGGTTTGAACACTGGTTTTGTCAATTTGAATGCGTTTTGTAGGTGTTAACGCTGTGTTGACGCTTCTGCATGTGTTGACGTAGCCCCACTAGTGTGGCCACGGTATGCTGCGCTGAACCTCTGGCCACACACCGTGGTACCGCGCACTACTGAGGACGAAGTTTTCATAAATTTTACAGGCAGTTTCTTACATATGGTTGTATTCTATGATGTCCCATCTATCACTTCTGGGATGCTTAGGTGTAATGATGTTCAATTTTCCGAGATATTTTGAATCTTTCTGGAGCCCATATGCACCCGTGAAACGTCTGGTGATGACAGCCATTTTGAATGTGACAAGAGAGATGACCTCAAGCTGTGACGTCGCGCGACACAGGAAACAGCCGTTGCATTTGCAACTCGCGCCCTCGCTCGACAAGCAATTTGCATAAACGCGACGTCACAGCTTGAGGTCATCTCTTGTCACATTCAAAATGGCTGCCATCACCAGACGTTTCACGGGTGCATATGGGCTCCAGAAAGATTCAAGAATATCTTGGAAAATTGAACATCATTACACCCAAGCATCCCAGAAGTGATAGTTGGGACATCGTAGAATACAACCATATGTAAGAAATTCCCTGCAAATTTTATGAAAACGTCCTCAGTAGTGCGCGGACCATGGTGTGTGGCCTTTGGTTCAGCGCAGCATACCGACGGCCACACTAGTGGGGCTGGTCTGGCCGGGTGCTTACCTCCACAATGCCGTCGCCTATCTCCAGAGACCTGACATAGATGCCTGGTACCTCTTTCTCTATCAGGGTCTGGATGTGACCCAAGCTGAGTGGATTACAACAACTGTCGCCTTAAGAGTTTAAAAACAGACAAAGATTCAAGAAATTTGAACAATGAAAAGTCAGAATCAAGAAAATTATTGGAAGTAGGATGGAACGCCGTATTATCGCGGTACTTATCACGTTTCTCGTTCGGAATAGAGATTGCCCACTAACCTTCCAGAATTGTCCTGTCTTATGTGTAGTATAACTCTTCCTTTTTAAATTAATATAAAAAAATCTGACGGGTAGTGCGGTTTATTCCGTGTACGATGCCTGTGAAAATAGACATGCGCGGCGTGTGCGAACGGAGGTGGACTCCCTATTATCGCGGTATGCGGGAAGTGGTTTTTATAATGATCCCAACTTTTTTGTTCATAGTTTATGTTTGACCAAAACACCCCCTGAAAAAAGTCTGATATTTTCCCTGTAACGTTCAAGTTGATTAAAGACAAAATGTCTGCAGGATGATTTCTTAAGACCCTGCCCTTCCCCCGAAAGGAGAACAAAATCCCTGAGGCAAGTCTACTGATCGGCGATTGAGGGCGCCATTCACTTTACACGGTGTGCCGTTTTATTTTTGCTAACGCGCGGTGCTTATTTTGATCCCGTAAAAGTCGTTACGATTTCGCGCTGCAAATATCGTCGTTTGACTTCATTTTACATTTGCAGCTGAAGAATGGGAACCAGACAATGGAACTTTCATGGACAGAGCGCAATTAAAGATTTATGTTAAAATATAAACGGTACCTTTTAGCAGACACGGTGAGGGAAAATTTTGCAAGTTTTGGAAAACGTTAATATTTATTAAAATCGTTAAAAGTCCCGAAAGACACAACATTTTTTAATCGTCCTTTTTATACAACTTGGTAGAAAATCCTTGATGACTGGTGAACTGGATAAAAATCGCCACTTGAAGGAGTTTTGACACTGTAAAAAGAGAAATTTCCCATGCCGCGATAATAGGGATGCCGCGATAATAGGGAGTCCGACTATACATAATTTAAGCATGGAGGAATGATTTAAGACAGTACAACTACAAATTCAAAGGGGAAACTTTGATTGGGTTGAATTTGATCTTTAGGCCTTGACTGCTTAAATGAGATTTCGATGAGTGATTTGACCGCACATCTTTCCCAAAAATGAAATTTAACTGAAGGTTAATCAAACAAGATGTTTGTCCATGGGATATTTTATCTATTCCCCAAAACGTTTTTCATGATTTAATCTTATGTTTGGATATCTTTAGAGAAACAAAACCTTTTGTTTTATTTAGCCAACGCGGAAGTAGCATTGTTCAGACTTAGTAAATGTATAAGCCCTAAATGTCAAAATGATAATTGATCAAAAATCATCCACTTAAGTTTTTTGTTTAGTGTTTAATTACAGGCATTTGATTAGGATTTCAAAACAATCATATATTCTTACCCATGCCATGCCACATAACAAGTGGGACTGTACTGTTGGTTGTCGCCAATACTGGCGACAAACAGGCCAGAAAAACCAGAAAAATCTGTACTTCCATGTCGTTCGCTCGCTGGTCGATTGACAAGTGAAACTGAAAGAGTGCACAAAACACGGGTAACACAGTGCACCTGACTGCACTGACTGCCGACTCCAAACTGTGGTTGACGTCTAGGATCAAGACCATACCGCTGCGCTGTAAAAGTCATGTGATTCCTCGAGGATCATGTCACATGATACTGCATTGTAATTAAAGTTCTCTGGCCGTCATGTCCGTGTGCTCTTCCGTCAAATTCAACACGTGTTTATTTTGGCCCTTTTAACTGCAAATATCGAGTCTATATTTTTATCGCTTTTCGATCCGGCAAATGCTGGCAGAATGGGGAATGAGGTTTATCGATTGCTTTTTGTGGCTTGGTTAAATCATGATTGCAACACATTAGGCCAAATAAAAAACAACAACATGTTTCTCGTCCGGGTTTTCGAAAGAAAGAAGGAAGCGGGGCTTTTTATTCTTTATTTCTTATTTGTTTCAAGATAGCCGCCATTTAAAAATTTCCTGCAATTGTTGGTGCTTCCACTGTTCAATGACACTTTTAAAATGAAATGATAAGTTGGACAAGAGAACTGAACATATTTACAGTGTCATTTAGACTTGTATTGGTCTACAATTTATTTTTCGATGAATTTGTGGACTTTTTCGGTGTTTTTTTACTGCATTTTTCAAAAATAAAAAATAATAAGAAAATCCAGGCGGCCTCCAAAAGGAAGCGAGCGGGGACGAGAAACATGTTGTTTTTTTTACTTCGCCTAATCAAGCAGCTCCACTATTATCGTTGCGCAACAATTAACACCGTGATTATGTAGGCTTTTTTTGAAAAGGCATCATGTGCGTTCAGGGGCGGACCCAGAAATAGTGCCGGGGGGGGGGGGGGGTTATGTCCAGGCCCGTCAGATGTTCATATACGATTGTTGCGGACAGAAGGACCGTGTCATTATTCAAATAATTATTATACATTTTTCGCGTTTTTCGGACGGGGGGGGGGGGGAGGAATTTCGACCGCGGATATTTTGGATATTGATTGATGTTCCTCTTACCTCTAAATGAATTTCTGCATTGTTTGGAGAAAAGTCAATTTTTGGCCGAGTTTGACTAAAAATGTAAGGCTAACCCCTTACGTTTTAGTCAATTTTGGTCAAAAAACAAAAATGCTTGAAACTTGCAGGAAAGATGCCTAAGGGACCCTAGAACACATTCCAATTCGTGTTCTGGACAGACGGTGGTATTCAAAAGAATGTTGCATCTCAAATTTGGGATAAAATCAATCATAAATATGTCAATACTAATCTCAACAAATTGCCGATTTCTGCCAAAATTCTCCAAATGTTGGGCCTTTGGATATTGATTGATGTTCCTCTCACCTCTAAATGAATTTCTGCATTGTTTGGAGAAAAGTCAATTTTTGGCCAAAATTTACTAAAATGTAAGGCTGCCCTTAGGTTTTTGTAAATTTTGGTCAAAATATTAAAATGATTGAAACTTGCAGGGAAGATGCCTAAGGGACCCTAAAACACATTCCAATTCGTTTTCTGGACAGACTTTGGCATTCAAAAGAATATTGCATCTAAAATTTGGGATTTGCAATGGACCGTAGGCATCGTTTTTCAAAATGGCGACGGGCTTCAGGACTACTTTAAGGGGTGATCATAATTTCGGATTGAAATTTCTGCTAAAAGTCATCGGTTGACTTCCCAAAAATGAAAAGAAAATGAAAGATGAAGAAGTACGCTTTAATTCGATGTGTGTCTCGAACGCCTCGGAGAGTTTTGATTCTTTTTCTTGAATTGCGTGCCATATTTTAAATGGGGAGCGCTGATAAAATCCTACAATCAGGCACACTATATCAACTAAAAGTGTACATAATGCGCCCTTCTCACGACTATTTATTTCGGGGGAGACCCGTTCCCATGTACGTCACATTTTTACATTTTGCTAGTGCATTTGTTTGTGGGGTTTTTTTTTGGGGGGGGGCTAGACCCCCCCCCCCCCCCCCCCCCCCCCCCCCCCACCCCAGAACCACCACTGGACCGTGCTATCTTCAGGTCGTTTGCGGGAGTGACCCACGCCAGAGTTCCGCGTGGGGAAAACGGCGCGGCCGGAGCGGGTCGCCCACAGACCTCGCGGCCCGGGGACGCCCGGGCTTGTAGGTCTCGGCGGAGGGGTTTATCCGACTGCCGCGTCGGACCGCGGCCCGCCGACCCCGGGGAATTGTTTACAATTAAAGAAACGTTATTTGAAAGATGTAGGCCTATATTGTATAGCCTATGGCGTTTCTTACGTCCATTGAAAATTGCACCATTAATAATGGTAGTCGTATTGATCGAACGAAACCTAATATTGATTATTATTAAATATTCATTGATTTATGACATAGATCTTTGTTTCGTTTTTAATGCTACCGGAGACCTGCCGAGCAGATGTAAATATCAAACTAAACTAAAGCATTAAACAAAAATAGAGGCTTTTAAAAAATCAAAAAGTTATGTGCTAGCCAAGCATTCAGGGATTGTCTGAGCCATAACAATGCCCCAGCCAATCCCTTAGTTCTCTTCCGGGGTCTCGGCATCCCCGACCAATACACACTTCCTTCCCTATCCATCCATATAACCCCGGAGGGCCAGGCACCATGTAAAAGCAAAGAGCTAAGGGAGGAACAGGGCGGCACCCTAAGCCCTGATCCCCCGAGTGGACCACATGCCCTGAACCTGTACGAAGGCGCCAACCTGGAACTCGCGGACAGTACCAGCAGCAGTGCTTACCGATTAAGCTAAGGTACCGTTGGTGATTTACGACGGGAAATTAAACATCTTATACTAACTGAATGCGCGCGTTGAAAAGCAAAAAGACACAGACGGGATTCGAACCCGGGCTCCGCGATTCGTAGACGACGAATCTAACCACTAGGCCATTCCGCTTCCTTAGAATTCTGCTCAAAAACGATTTGTTTGAATAGGCGGAGAAACACTGAACATTGTTGAGTGCATCTGTTTTATCTAGCTCCATGGACGAACAGAAGTCGATATTTCGTGCAACAATGAGCCAACTGTTTTCATTTGTTTCAGGCCTATACGTGGGCTAAACCTACTTATCGTTACGCAACAATGAACACCGTGATTATGTAGGCTTTTTTGAAAAGGCATCAAGTGCGTTCAGGGGCGGACCAGGAAATTTTGCGGGGGGGGGGGATGTCCAGGCCCGTCAGATGTTCATATCCGATTGTTGCGGACAGGTGGACAGTGTCATTAATAAAATAATTATACATTTTTCGCGTTTTTCGGAGGGGGGGGGGGGGATTTCGACCCCTCTGGATCCGCGCCTGACTTCCATTCTTTGTATTTTTGGACAGATACAGATTCTCAACTCCGTCACTACTATTTCAACATTATACGGACGTATTTAGAAAAGGAAATAAATTGTTTTTACGGATTGATTGTTAACACTATAATCAGGCCTCTGTTCCGTTCGCTGTTTCCAACAGTTTTTCATTAGCCTGTAATCAAACATTATTTTCCTGAAAAATAATGAGAGCAGTATGTTCTCATCCTTAATTCTATATATAAAAAAAGAAATCAAACGTTGGGCGCTGTTCTTGATGTGCATCATAGCGCTTCGCTCGCAACCCCCCCTCACCCCGCCCTGCAAACAGTTCTGACCAAAACGAATAGGAATGTGTTCTAGGGTCGCTTAGGCATCTTCCCTGCAAGTTTCAAGCAATTCCATTTTTTGACCAAAATTGGCCAAAAATGTAAGGGGTTAGCCTTACATTTTTAGACACAAGAATGTGCATAAAGGATTGAATTCTAAAATGCCATTACCTGGGGCTTTATAGAATTTATTGTCATTGACACGCAGGCGCGGATCCAAAGGGTTGATTTTTTACTCAAAATGTAAGTTTTTTACTCTTAAAAATGAATGAACACAATGGACAGCAATTTTCTTTGGGCAGTTCTTCAATTCTCTTTTTTGATTTGCTTTCACACATACATGACAAAATTTGCCAAAAGGAATCAATGTACATGATAGCTAAATAGTCATAGAACAGAGGTATATAAACATAAATATGAAGTTAGGTAATATCTATACAGTTAAATGGTTTAAACTATGATTATTTTTCTTTAACCCTCATCATGTTGGTAATGAAACGATGAACCACTTTTCAGTAATCTTATTAAGCACGAGTATGAGCGGTTTGCGATACAACGCACCGGCAAGCATTGATCAAGACGCCACGTTTGGTCAGCGTTCTAAAGTTATTTGTAATACAGATAGAAGTTATAGTCAGATATGCATTCAAGTGATAAAAGCAAACATGAAACGTTTTTCAATAAAGCATAAAATACCAGCTAAGCTGTTCCCGTGTGTAGAAAACCCAGATAGATATATAGTTAGAAAAAAGGTCATATTTCTGGATCCGCCCCTGGGTCTAGTTAAAAAAAAGAAGTAGACACTACTTTCAACAATTTAAAAAAATCGAAATTGACAACACCAATTTTTGTGAAAATACACAACGTTTTTATTTATGTTTCAATTCAAAATCTCCTGGGCACGACTTAACATTCATATGACAATTGGTTCTGGTCACAGACAAACAACTGAGTGGCAAAACTCAAGAATCATATAGTTTTTACAGTGTAGTTTTAACTGGCAAACAACGAAACGTGAAAACCAAATTGATTGAAGGAAAAGAGATCATATATGAAAGTCAAACCAAAAAGGAACAGATAAAATGCTGCAACAATACGAGAGTGCTCAGACTTAGTAATTTGTAAAAAAAAAATGGACTTTTTAGATTAAAAACAAAAAAGTTTAACATAAACTCAAGGCAACATTAAAGGAAATAATGTGTTAACACATTTATTAACATACCAATGTCAATGCACTGAAATCAACTTTGAATCAATCTAGCAAACAAATAGCAAAGTCAATTTTATCAAATAACACCATGACATCTCAAATTAACTCTTACATTAACAATGAACAATTATCTATCTGTCAATCCGTTTTGTTTTTGCGAGTGAAAATATTTATCCGATTTGAATAGATTCAACAAGGCAGAATCTAGCTTTTATGAAAATACAGTTCTACATGTAATATTGCTCTCTTTTGCGTACACTGTATAGCTGCATTGAATGCATTCATTAACAAAAATCTTATATGATAAATATTCAAGTTGCTTGCAAAAGCAACCCAAAGTTCTACATTGGCTAACATAGAAAATAACCAACGTTCGTCCAAAATAGAAGGATTAAGTAGTCCCAAAATTCTCTTAGTAAAAATGTTCGTACTTAAATACTTTTACCATTTTTGACAACAGAGGCCTTTTACCTCTTTTTACCTCGATACTTTTACCATTTTTGACAACAGAGACCTTTTTACCCCTTTTTACCTCTTTACTTTTACCGTTTTTGACAAACAGAGACCTTTAGGTCTTTTCTTACAATATTTTGCCAGCCATTCCTTTCATACGGCTAGGATTAGATTGTTAAAAAAATGTAAAGATGATCCAATTTTATTATGTGTGTTAACCACAATGTCCTTTTACAATGTAATTCTTGAGACAAAAATAATAGAACCAACATAAACAGAAAACTTGATTTAATCGAAAACAAAATATCTAAATTTAGATGGTCTTAACATTAAAGGGAATATACAACATTTGCAAACATCGAAAAATAAAACTACAAAGTTTTTGCGAAATACCTTAATAGGATGTTGGTAAATGACAGTCTAAAGCATCCTGTAAAATTATGGCACCTGGTATACTGTCATTTTCAAGAAAAGTGGTATTTTTGTATCAATTTCCAACGCTGATCGGCCGATCAGCGTTGGAAACAACTGGCTTTTTTTTTAAATACTGGCCCCAATTGACCATTGCACTTGTTTGCAATCGATTACAAACCTATGAACGGGTACGAGCCAGCTAGACTGGTTCCCTGACCTTACAATTCCCCAATGTATGTAAACTGCTCTGTTTCTTCTTATATGGAGTCAGGGAACCAGACTACAGGAAAATGATCGTTTTTCTTGATTTTTATAGCATTTTCGAACCCAAAAGCTCCAAAAAGTCATTGTAACTATATTTGCTTTATATTTCCAACCCCCCAATTCCATCCATTTCTGAAAATTACAGCAAAAGCAAATGATGTATATTCCCTTTAAATACCTTGTATGAAATTTGACATACATGTATTGGAAAAAAAACACCTTTCTCAGTAGCATTTTTTCAAAAGCTTCATATGGATGAATAGAATGAAAAGTTTTATATAACACAGAAGAGATGTTTCACAAAGAGTGAAAACTCACTTAAAAACAGCTAGCACCACACAAGACCAAAAATTGATGACAGGAAAAGCCAAGTCATTCAAACTCATCTCAAGGTAACCACAAGCCATCAAGTTGCAACTGACAAGACAGCTTTTCTTGTGGCCTTAATTGTTAAATAATTCCTGGAAATATCCCAAATAAAGTGGCAAATATCAAGAGAAAAATTGTCAAAAATAGAACACCCCACCCCCCAAAAAACCAAAGCAAAAAACCCCCCAAAAAACAACCAAAAAACCCCCACCAAAAACCAAGAAAACAACCCCCTTTTTTTCCATAAAACTGAAGCAAAATCCCATTCTTAAGAATATACGAAAAATTATGGGTTCCCCTACCTTGGGGAACACATATTTGGAGAAGAAATTGACAAAAAGAAAAGCTTTAGATAGCGAATTAAAATCTTCAAAGTTCTGCCTTTGCAGAAAAATAATGTTTAGTAAATTTGAACAAATATTTGTTAACATTTGTTTGTAAGGCATTGCAGCCTGAAACAGGTTAAACCCTACACTGAAGCAAAACTACGACCTTGATAAATTGACATAGCACGTATGTTAAATGATTGCCGGTAAACCGGTCATATGACACAAAGTTTTGACCAATCAGAGCATTGCTTGTAGACGACATCGTCATGTTGTCAGTGCAAAAACATTGTATCTCGGTTTTGAGTTGTTTTTTAAGAAAAATGCATAAATATGTTCGTGGTGGCTCGCTAAATTTTTGCGTTTCATTAAATTAAAAGATTAAATTTTTTTTAGGAAGATCATTTATTCAGAAACATGTTCAATATGTTGAACTCTTTGATTTTAGATAAAAGAACTTTTATCAACGAATTGGATCAACGTACGATTTTTTAGCTTGAGAAGACGCACGCGCTAAGTATATTTTCGTCAAAACGTCGTGACTCATCGAAATACAAGGATTTTTTACGAACACACAATAATGCCCAATTACTTTAGCACATAGACCTCAAATCGGGTAAAGTCACAAAATATTTGTTACCGTATCCCTAAAAACATCTCAGGATTGAACAACATGCTTGTATTTAGCTTGTCTCAAGAATGTTGTTATAATTCCCAGAAGCATCTTATTCAGTGTACGAATAATCTCTAGTTTAATATTTCTCGTGTTTTCCATTTTATTTTTGTTTCTCGTATTTTCCACCTACTTAATTTTTTATTACAAATTAGAAATTATTTTGTCTTATATTCTTATTCTGATAATCTGGTTTCAAGAAAATGCAAAAATAAACTTCACTATTGTCACATCAGTACAAGCATATGAATTTGGAATACTTTTGAGATGTTTTCCAACAATGTTTTTGCACAAACACCCTTACGACCATATGGCATTTTGCATATAAATGTGCTGCGATACGACTTTTTGCTTAAAAGTTCAGCCTCGTAATGGAGATACGACTTTATGACTTTAATCAATAACAATACAATGACGCAATATTTTTCAATGAAATTCTCCTGTAATAATTTATGGGTAAATCTTGATAAAAATACACACAAATCTGAATTTTGAAAAAACTGGAAGTTACGATGTTTTTGCACTGACACAACGATATATCTAAGGAACTGTACTTTCTCATGTAGTGTAGTCCAAATTATTAGAGGGGAAAAAGCCTGCTCGCCTGGAATGTCTCGTAAGTCTTGACAGCTGTCCATCTGATTACGACGTGCTGTGCGACAGAAAACAAAAGTCAACCTCAATAACTCAAATGACACAAACAAATACCTACAAACAGAACGGTCTTTTTTGTTTTACACTTACGTAACTGCAGCAGTGTCCTGTGCAGTTGACCTATCCCCGTTTGCGAGTTAGCCACGCCCATTAGACAACCCTATGGAATTTTGTACGTTAAGTTTTGTTTGTCTCAGATTTTGCGCGTTCCGCGTCCATTACTATATCGTGTAATTGGACAATATTTCACAAGCTACATTGACGCGATTCTACTGCAATACCTCAATTGACCTATCGCTGTTTGCGAGTTATCCACGCCCCTTAGACAACCCTATGTAATTTGTATACACTAAGTTTTGTTTGTCTGAGATTTTGCGCGTTCCACGTCCATTTGTATATCATGCAATTGGACAATATTGCTGCTTTGACTCAATTCTAACGCGATTCTTCCGCGACAGGTCAATTATCTGTAAAGCCATTGAACATTGTGGACAAAATGCTATTTGGATTCTGTTGGACTCTGCAGGCTTCAGGCGTGACTAATTAGTCAGTCGCACCACGAAGTGACGTATTGTGCGCACAAAGTCCATGGACAATATGTCACTTCGTGGTGCACCCGACGAATTATCGATTCAGTAGGGTGCAAAAGTTCCAAATTGAATGGGGTAAGGATAAAGTGTTCTAGAACTTTCGATAGATATTTTTTTTAATAGTTCCAGTTTTGAACCAATGCTACATTTCATAAAAAATTGAGAGTAAAACAGTGATGTCTGTAATGAAGGCAAATATGACGGACCACAAGTACATAACAAGTCAATTCAAAAGGCCAGTGTTAAAGGTACAGTCCATCATTTGCAGCTATCCAAAAAAATAACTGACATAATTATTGTTGAAAAGCATCGTTGTAAATTTCCGTTAGGAGTTCTTTTTCTTTTATTCGGCGAAGCGCGCGAAAGCTTTGACAGAACGCACACGCGCGCCGTTGCTTTAATTCATCGGTGCATGACATAGCATAGCTGCAATTGGCTCAGTGAGAACATGTCTCGGATGCTGAATGAAGGTTCAATTCAAAACATGATTTGAAATCGAGCTCCTAGAATATTGTTTTCTCGGAATATACAGCATTCACTAAGCTGAAAGTACATCAGGTTAGTTGTTCAGCACCCTTCTTTAGATTTTGAGCGCTTTTGTTGCTTAAAACGAACATCATGCACAAATTACAAATGTTGAATGCTACCTTTAAGTAACAAGGGCTGAACGATAGCAAAGGAATGTCTTTGCCACAGTTCAATTGAATATAGCACGTGACTAGACTTCAGGCATGCAACTGGGAATTTAGAAAAAACGAGGAAATTCCAAACCACCCAAGACTTTCTACAGTGTTTCTATTTTGTAATGGCGTTCATGAGAAGTCAAAAACGGGGAAATCAGCAGATCCGAGGAAAAGTTGCATGCCTGAGACTTGGAAATGGATGACATCCGTGATTGAATGATGGACTTCTGATGACCTGTGATCCATCAACAGTTTTGAAGTAAAATGCCATTTATAGAAACCTCACTCACTTGAGCATTTGCTGTAACCACTGGTAGGCCGCTTTCAAATATGGCAGCGTGGACGTCCAGAGAAGGACGGAGTAGTGCAGGATGCCGTCCCATAATGCCTCTAGGTAAGGAGAGATGGTCCTCCAGAAGGTGACGAGGTAAGGGGAGAGGAAGTCCCATACTAAGACTAGGTAGCCCCAGAGGAGGTTCCAGAGGATTGGAATCTGGGCTTTGATCTGGGGGATATGAAGAGAGAGAAAAAAGATGCAATTAAGGATAATACCCTGGCAGGTGATTTGGTTCAAGTTGGCCCTCATTGTGTGGTGTGTCCAGTATTGGGCTGTGCGTAAAGCAGATTTGTAGAGGTACAGCTACATGTTGTTCCTGCATAATTGACACTGTCAAAGACCTAGAAAATAGCTATGGGCTCCGTGCACAAGTACCCTTCAACGGTAAGAAAGGGAGAGTTGGGGGAGACCACTTGGAGAGACATTCAAACGCATTGCCGACAACGCCTGACGTTGAGGCGAAGACGCTATGGCTTTGCGCAATGCTTTGTGTATATTCAGAATAAAATACGTCGTGCGTACTTCCTGCGATACGTGCGTGAACCAGTAAGCTCACACTGCTTGTCCTATCCACGGGGCTCTCGAAAGGGGTAAAAAAAGCACCCTCTCTTGTTGGCGCACGGAGCCCATAGACAAAAGATTCAAAAGCGGCAATGATTTTATGACCATCACACAATTGGGAGGGGGTGTTGGGGGGGGGGGGGGTGTTGGGGAGGGGGTGTTGGTTCTTCTTTGTTTCCTCTTCAGCTACAACTTCACCTACTTCATGTTCAACTGGGATTCAAACCTTGATGGAAATCATGATATTTGTGTTCTTAGGCAAGACACTTTACTACTACAATTGCCAATCTTCACCAGGGAATATAAATCGGTGCCAATCATTACAGGATTAGGACTTTCCCTAAGTTTCCTGAAGCTTACCCACTCTAGAGCAATGGGGACGTTTAGTCTGAGCCACGCCCATAAAGGCGCGGTCAGTTCAGCCAGATACAGGACTAACGCATAGAGTTTGTCCTTCATCAGTACCAGGTAGGGTCCGCACAACTCAGCTGCCTTGACGTAGTAGATGGGGATGTTGACAGATGCCCAGCTGAAATCAAAATATATAAAAGATTCATAAGAAAATAGGTAATCCAAATATACTGGATTACCTAGTTAATTATAAAACGTTTGAGCTTAATCACCGTCTGTGTGGTTGAACATGATAGGGTACTTCATCAGCTTTCCATTGATACCTTAGAGTAATTATTAGCAAGGACTATGATTAACCATAGTTCAACTATTAAACTTCACTCTTAATCACTGTCAGCGTGGTTGAATGTGATAGGGTAGTTTATCAGCTTTCCATTGCTACCTTAGAGTGATTATTAGCAAGGACTATGGTTAACCATAGTTCAACTATTAAACTTCACTCTTAATCACTGTCAGCGTGGTTGAATGTGATAGGGTAGTTTATCAGCTTTCCATTGATACCTTAGAGTGATTATTAGCAAGGACTATGGTAAACCATTAAACTTCACTCAAATGCAGAATGGTTGGACTATCAGTCGACTATTATACAAATATTGAGTGGCTCAGAGTGAAATGGTAGGAATATTATCGCAAAGTAAATCTGGACTTTTCCATTTTAAGAGGCGAAGCCGAGTGAACTGGAAGCGCTAATATTCCTCCCATTTCACAATTTAAAGCCACTCAATATTTGTTTTATATAATTGACATGTAGATCCTTGTCATTTGATATATTTGGACTTTTATTTCAATACAAAATTGGTAGAAAATGTATTTCTCAGGTTCTGTGGTGGCTGACCAGAGTATGACGTCAGAGCTAATCGACAGCAAGGGACTAGCCCGAGTTGACCCGGGTGAGCTACTCGAACGCACCCAAAGCTTCACATACTTTGGATGAGATTGACCATACACGCATACTTACTCGACTGCAATGCCCAGGTAGAGACTGATTTTAGTCCAGGCTTGCTTGCACACCGCCGAGATGCCAGACCGCTCAAAGAATGCTTGCGTCAGAGAGCCTGTCGAGTCAATTGTGAAACAAAAGAAGTCGGCTATGAAAACACTGACTGTGAAACAAATCAACTTGTGTGAAAAATGGAAATGTTCAATTGATTGTATCTGTGTCTGTTAGCTTCTGTACAAACGCCTGATGTGGCTATCAAGTACAGTCTCATGGTGTATGTATGAGGATAACTGCCAGAAACACCGGGGCGAACCCCTTTTCTTAGCGATAAGTGTTTGCTGGGTTCTTTTACGTGCATTATACAACACACGGGACCTACAGCTTTACGTCCCACCCGAAGGACGAAGCAATAATGGTCAAGCGCCTTGCTCAAGGGCACAAGTGTCCGGGCCCGGGCTTGAACCCACGCCACTGTTGCCTCTGAAACACCAGAGCACGAGTCCAGTGTTCTTAACCGCTAGGCCATCTCATTCTTAACCGCCAGGCCATCTAGGCTGAACATAATTGAATCAATTCAAAAATCCTGTCGTAACTCGTAAGTAACAAGAATGATAACAGTAGAACTTGTGAGGAGTGGTGATACAGTCGACTACTGCACTGATGTATCTGGGCCATTCTATAAAGCAAGAGCCCCAAGTGTGACACTTGTCCTGTCCCTGTCACCACTGAACTTTGCAAATTGCCATTCAAGTATCATTAAAAATGCCCTCAAACGATGTTTTTGTTTGTTGGGTAGGTCATTTGCTATTAACCCTAACCGAACACAAGCCATCAAAGTTCAACAGCAGGTTTGTGTTTAAATCTGTTGGGATAGGTACAGTTCCCCTAAACAGATGGTCTTTCACACTGGGGTTGGCATACCTCCAGAAACTAAGTCCAACAGTGTGTGTGTACAATTTCCCATGTGGGTGTTGGAATTTGCCTGAATGGGTATGGTTCCTAGTAAATTAGGCTGGGGAGTTAGGGTTAATAAACACTCTTGGAGGGCAACTGCATTAAGAAGTGCATCAGAATTATGAAATCATAGATGTCAGATGTAACAGGGACACGACACAAAATGGACCCGAAATCTAATGACTCATTTGTATTTAAACCTATAGAATGTATCGGTCTAGCTGTGCAACGGACACAAATAGAACTGACAAAAGTACTTGTTAATGAGCGAAGCTTACACGTAAGGAAACGTTGTTACTTTGTTACACAAGTAAGAAGGCTAGCCACAAGACTGACTAGTATACAATACCGTGGAATCCTTTGTGGCTATACACATCAAAGGCAATAAATGTGATCACGGCAAGAGCTATCGTAGTCAGGATACTCCTCCATGGAAACTCGAAGCCACTCATTCGCTCCAGCAATTCCTATCACAAAGAAAGAAAATACCAAGAGAAATACAAGAAAAGTACAAATGAGATTAACCCTAACTCCCTAGGCCCTTTTTGCTAGGAACCATCCTCAATCCTCCAAAATCCTCCAAAATGTTGCACTTGTGTTAAAATGAAAGATGCCCAGTGCCTCAATCCTTCAAAATCTTCAGACAGTCCTGCCCTCAAAAAATGCATTCATCCTCAATCCTCCAAAATCCTCCTCCTTTTCAAACACCATTCATTCCTCAATCCTCCAAAATCCTCATGTGCTTCAACACCATTCATCCTCAATCCTTTAAAATCCTCCAAAACCGCCATGAGGATTTTGGAGGATTGAGGCGGGTTAGGGTTAGCTTATATTTTGGGTTATACTGTGCATGCATTGGGGCATTGGGACCCCCCCCCCCACAAAAAAAGTTTTGAAATTGAATTTCTGATTTTTAAGCATGGAAGATACTTCTTTTTCCTTCCTATAACAACAAAAAAAGATCATGTTACCTTTTTTCACTATAGGACCCAATTGTGGACTTTGACCAATTGAGAAGTTTTAAAACAGTAACAAAACACAAGCCTAACCTTGCATGCTAGCTTGCACTGCTCGTGTTCTGATCGTCCGTTTCTTGCGCTGGCCATGTCCTCGTTGGTCAGGTGAAACGCGCGGACGGTCTCCTTCAGAAGTTGCTTTGGTAACTACACAACAAAGCAAAACAAATGAATTTGTAGAAGTACATAGCTTCAGAACGGATTAGTCTGCTAATGTGATATATGCAACGTTCATATCAAATGCCCATGGTATTTTTGCTAGAACCTTCTTCAATTCCACAAAATCAGTACAATCCCTGGCAAATCCCAGAGACACTTTCTTACTAATTCCAAGGCACCAACAAAGTACTCCCAATACTTTAAAAACAAGGTGTAGCGGGTAGTAGATTCCGTTGCAAGCCAATATGGCCAATCAGGTTGGTGTTTATCTCTGGTTTCCTTGGCATGAAACGACTGAGAATATTTCTATTCCCTCTGGATGGGATGCCAGTCCATCGCAGGTTACTCCCCAGCCAATGCCAGTACCCATTTAACTCCTGGGGTGGAGAGAGGCAAGTGGGGGTGAAGTGGCTTGCCCAAGGACACAACATGTAGCCAGCAGTTGAATTCAAACCCCTGACCCTCTGATCATGAGTCACGAACCCTAACCACTAAGCTACACTCTCCACAAATGTGTAGTGAAAAACATTATGTTCTAAAATTGATCCGAGGCCGAAGATGGGAACAGAGCCCCCGGTTTGAGGAGAAGACACATTTGTTGTCTCACGATGCTGAAAAAAATCTGAGATGTTTATCACACCTGTTTTTGTACTTTCTCCCATGATGCCAGCATGTTACAACATATCATTCAAACCCCTGACCCTCTGATCATGAGTCACAAACCCTAACCACTAGGCTACACTCTCCACAAATGTGTAGTGAAAAACATTATGTTCAAAAATTAATCCGAGGCCGAGGATGGGAACGGAGCCAGGGTTTCAAACACGTTGGTAGGAGGAGAAGCCACCTTTGTTGTCTAACGATGCTGAAAATCATTTGAGAGATGTTTATCAAACCTGTTTTTGTACTTTCTCCCACGATGCCAGCATGTGGTTCATCAGCACACTAGACTGCGACAGGTGCGTGTCGTACATCTGGCGCCATTTGCTGAAGCAGTGGTGGTCCGTACTCAGACAGATGATCAGGGTGTTCAACAGCTGTAAAAGCAAGCAGAGGAGTAATCACAGGGTTTGTTGGACAGAGGACAATGTCAAACTCTAGACTCCAGACGCAGGAAAACATTCCAAGCAAAGTCAGGTCATCTTTACTCACTTTAACCCTCTTACTATTTTAAACAGTCACAGACAGTCAAAATGTCCATCCGCTTCCCCTGCTATACTTTTAACACAGGCTAGTCACTAGCAGTCAGACCATATGCCAAGCAAGCACCATGACAAGTCAAACTCAGTCAACAGGCCATGAACAGACAAATCAGGCAAGTTGGGGGCACAGCTGGCTTATCAATCAACCACTGTCTAAGCTGCCATATGCCCAACTGTTTTGAAGAACAGTCCTGTGGTATGAATTTGAAATTCAGACCCAGAAATTCTAGACCCATCTGATGGACCCGTGAGCGGAAAATACCAAGGAATTTTAATTTTAAGGCATTATTTAAAGTGCTGAAAACCAGACAAAGACAATTTTCAGGGTTCCTACAGAAAACTTAAAATGAAATTCCATGACTTTTCCAGACAAAATTACAGCTTTCAATGACAAATTTCTACACTGTTGTTCCATCTCAGGAGCCTATTTACAATACACTGGCCAGTCATCATGCTGGCTTTTCCCAACAATTGATTTTTTTTTTCTTTACATCTATAGACCGGCGCCTTTGAATGGATTCTAGAGATGGATTCTAGATTATAAATACTGTACATTGTATTAAAACTACAAATGTAGCATTTAGGGAGACACGTTATCGTAATTTCTTCGACAATTGGGAGACATCGGTCATTAGGGAGACATTTTCATGTCTCCCTAATTCCACAGCCCCCCTTCAGAGGCAAAATTTTACTGTCGCAATTGGGTTATATTTGTTGCTCGTGGTCTAATTAGTCAAAATACCGAAATTCGCGGAAAAAGGACCAGGGAATATCGGGTTAGGGCACATTTAAGTTTGAACAATTTTGTGCACAAGTCTATGGGAATGTCTCCCTATGGTCCCATTTTCGGTAATTATTATTATTATTAATATTATTATCAGACTGAAAACAAAGGTCTTTGCATTACCATCTACAAGATGGCCTCCACCCGCCCCCCACAGCCAACCAATCCTCACACTTATTCTTGTTAAACATACACGTCATGAAACACTTAACGCAAATATTATGCATCATTATTTATGGGTTGTGCTGGACTCCAAGACGTTTCACTTGGAATATCAACTTTTTGTGACTGGTTATCAGATAACTGAGTCATGACTATCCATGAGAGCTTTACATTCCTCGATTTTCCGGGATTTTTCCATGTCACATGATCATTTAGCTACATTGTAGTAACCTGCATTAGCTAAGTTTTCCCAAGCACAACAGCTTCACAGGACGCTATCTCACCTCGTTCTTCATCTGCTCCGGGCAATTCACCGTCGTTCTTGCTAACAGCGAGGGAAAGAAATGCCGCAGGGTGGTTTCTGGATGAGTTCCAAAGGCTATGCTCTGGGAAATATAAAATCACACACAATTTCAAAAACAGTTAGATCAAGTAAATTTATGTGCCAGCAAAAGTCGTTTTTGACAACCAGACATTTCCGCCAGTCATTGCAGCTAAGTGAATATTTTCTTGGTGTTACCAAGTTTGATCTGAGCAATCCTATGAAATTAGGCCCGGGATTGGATCCTAGGCTTGTCGTTTCAAATTCCCCTTCAACAACTTTTTTTCACAAAAATCCTGAAAATTTGCTTAATTTTAACTGAAAAGAGTAAACCGAATTACCTTCAGTTTGGAGTAATGCTTAAGGAGTTGCTTCTGCAGTCTGAAAAGGAAAAAAATTAAAAAAGTTGATTAATTTTTATATTGTCCGACTATTTGTTTTAGTTATTGTTCCACATATCGCAAGTTTTACTTGGGCCACTCTCACCTGTACATGCTGAATCTGGGTTAAGCATTGAATAGGCATCGAACAGGCATTGAAGTTGGAGACATCACAGGTAAGAGTGGCCCAAGCAAAATGTACACCCTTTCACTTAATTGATTGTACTTCTGGATCTAGGGACCCAAATGTAATGGGGTAAAAAGGAGTGGATTGAGAAATAGCCAGGCTTGAATGTAAATATATAATTTCACTGATTAAAAAAACATTAACCCTAACTGCCCTGAATCCTTCATCCTCTTTGCCAAAGTGGAGGAATTTGGAGGATTGAGGTTACATGGTAAAAGTGAGTTACTGATTTCGTAGGATGCACTTTGTCAAGGTCTTGGGCCGGACTGTGTGTTGTTTTTGCTCAGCCATACAAAAATTATGCTTGAAATCCTCCGTACTGCTCCAGGATGTCACTGGCCAAGCCTCAGCATACTGACAGTCACTGCTGCAGGATTTTGCAGGATTCAGGCAGTGGTCACCCCTCCACGGACCATATTCAAGAAATAATGCAGGAATTGGAGGATTGAGGCTTAATGCTATTTTTTCATGAGGTCAATTTAAGGATTTTGCAGGATTGAGGTTACATCCTAGCAAAAAGGCCTAGGGAGTTAGGGTTAACCAGTTTTAATTATTTGTTTGCTGAATGTTGCACTTTTTTTGGGAACACTCTGTGGTTGACAACCACACTGATGTACTCACTGGGCTGGGAGTGCAGTCCCTGGTGTGAAGACAAAGTCCACGATGGGAAAGAACTGATTGGGCCCCAGGACCTCATGGGCCTTCTGCTTGTCCATCTTCTGCCTGCGATCACATCGAATCAATCATCAATTTTTTGAAAACTAAATACAAAATTAAGTTTAAATTGGTAGGTTTCTGTGGTGAGGTCATTGGCCCGAGGACGTTTGTGAAAATTGACAAGTGTGATTTGGACCCAAAAGGCATATAGGATCATTTGCATTATCCAAAATGTAACGTAGAGAATTATTGTCAAAAAGCTTACTGGTACTAAACAAGATGTGAAATTATTCCGTCTGGCTTGCTGTCATTTAGAAGAAATCAAGAAATGAAGGTGATTTTTTTTTTACATAAAGCCGTTAAACGACTGATCGTCGGAGATAAAGAGTTCTATCGATGGTATCATGTTTCATGGTCAAAGATTCTGCATGTTTTCACTGTTTTCTTAAATAGTGTAATATTCACTGAGCTAAAACTTCAACAGCTTAGGATTTGAACATTCTTCTTTGGATTTTGCGTGGTGCTATTAATGGAAACGAACAAATTGACGCCTTTAAAAGAACATTTGTGAGTTCAACGTGTTTTAGGCAATGCTGTAGCAAGTTGTGTAACGTTTCTCTTGACGGTGAGCTGACTTACTTCAATATTCTGTCCAGATTGGCCATGGCATACGCGGAGGCCGGCTTAACACCAAGCAATGGTAGCATCAAACCACACCATACTAGGCGGAAAATTCATACAAGAAGTTGAATTTTAAAGGTAAAGTAGATCATATGCAGTAACTGACCTAATTATTGTTGAAAATCTTACTTGTTTTAAAGATAGCAATGGCACTAAACTCCCTGTGAAACTATTCTTTCTGGCATGCTGTCAGTTTGAAGAAAAATCTAAAAGAAGGCCATTTCCAAAGATCCGTCAAGTGACACATTTTTGGAAATTTCCATCAGTACTTGGTTTGTAATTCGGCACTTCTGTGAATGGCTGCGCAAGTGTTGACACAAGGCACTCGTGCGCGTGGTTGCTATTAATTGTCGGTTCAGTGTGTGACATCGCGTGCTGCAATCTTTTGTTACTTCAAACGAAAATAAATGCACAAATTAAAAATGATCTACCCTGACCATTAACCCTAACCCACCTCACTCCTCCAAAATCCTCCTGGCGGTTTTGGAGGATTCTAGAGGATTGAGGATGAATGGTGATTGAATCAAATGAGGATTCTGGAGGATTGAGGATGAATGGTGATTGAAGCACATGAGGATTTTGGAGGATTGAGGATGAATGGTGAATAAAGCACAAGAGGATTTTGGAGGATTGAGGATGAATGCATTTTGAGGCAGGACTGTCTGATGATTTTGAAGGATTTGGCGTTGGTTATCCTTCATTTAAACACGAGTGCAAAGTTTTGGGATGAGGAGGATTTTGGAGGATTGAGGATGAATGCATTTTGAGGCAGGACTGTCTGACAATTTTGAAAAATTTAGGCGGAGTTGAAAAATTTTGGAGGATTTTGGAGGATTGAGGATGGTTGTAAGCAACAAGGGCCTAGGGGGTTAGGGTTAAATGAATGTTAGCAGCCGAAAATGATTATAATTGATAACAACGCTAATCTTCTCATATTGCTTCTTTTTTTTAAACTAAAATTCAGTGCTCCAGAGTGGTGCCAATCGAAAATCCCTGTAGAATTTGTTTTCAAACAGAATTTGTTTTCAGCAAGGCAAAATTGTTGCACTAATTGTCAATTTACTGAACTCTGGAGTCATTTCAAAGTCTGTGGCAGTCCATCGTTCACGCGTCGTGCCCCATAATGACGTCAAACATGGAATTTTAAGGTTTCAGAATATTTTGGTTCAACACAACTCTGAAACTGTTTAAAGAAACGAGGGTCACAAAACAAATCTTGAAATCTTACAAACTCCACAGAGAACACAAACAATGCCTTGCCGCAGAAAAACATTGTTATTTCTGCTGCTGCCACGCCTCGAAACTGATTACTACGTTAAAAAAAGTCTGCAAAGTTTGAGGCCAACAGTAGTTCTAAGTTTTGTGTTTCTAAGTTTAGACAATCATTTTATTTAGCTACAGGATAATAAAATAATTACATTTCATGAAATCTTTCGTAAAGTTCACATGATTCTCGAATGGGTAATCTTTCCTTTAAATTGAAGTTTAAATGTGACACCCCCCACCTTGCACCCCTAACCCCCTCCTCCTACCTTGCAGTCCAATAATGGGGTCACTGTATCCAGCTTGAGCGCACGACCACAAGACGGACAGGCAGTGTGACTTTTCATTCTGTTTCCTTCTCACCATGGTTAAGTACTGGGAGAAAAACAAATACAGAACAAAGCACAATCAGAAATGATCTACATCACTATCGACCTGACAGATTCTCTGACGTTGTAAATTGTAAATCTCAATGGTGAATTTGAAAATATAAACTCTCCTCACTAGAATTATAGATGACGAATAATTAAGCATACTGTTTGACACGTCGAGTTGAACCAACTGGTTCTTTTCAGAAGTACATGTACACAACTCATATCATTGACATGGTATTACTGCAAACCTCCCATCCACAGAATTATAGCATCAACATATTTATTCCAATATAACCTTGCTGCCCTGCTGTACAGGGTGAGTCAAAAAAACGAAACCCAAATGTCGGGACCATTGTTTCAGTGAAGTTTTTCATGTAGCACTTTCAAAATCTAGCATACGAAAGCCCAATTCATAAGCTTTCATTTAGTACAAGAATCAGTCAAATCACTCATTTACTTTTCAAGTTATGGAGTTTTAAACACAACCACCGTTTTAAAGTTCTGTCCACGGATCACAAAAAAGGTGTGCATTATTTCAGCAAAACAAACACAATTCACACACATCCTCATGTGATTTGTTATCGTTTTGCTGAAAGAACACTGAACTTTTTTGTGATCCGTGGACAGAACCTTAATACGCCGGTTGTGTTCAAAACTCTGTAACTTGAAAAGTACATGAGTGATTTGGATAATTCTTGTACCAAAAGAAAGCTGAAGAATTGGGCTTTTATATCCTAGATTTTGAAAGTGCTACATGTAGAACTTCATTAAAACAATGGTCCTAGCATTTTTTAAATTTTTTTTTACGCATCCTGTACGTAGATTTACATATTTTGGTGAAAGACAAACACATTTATACAATCTGCAGATTGACATATTGAATACCTGACTGGAAACTGTGGTTTTGTACATATTTGTTTAATTTTTCCAAGTTCTGTGAAAAGAAAACACTGCCCAATCTTCCCCCTTCAAAACCACATTTTTTTTAAAAACATTTTCACTTACAAGGTCCATGGATTCTGTGACAAACTCTGGGTGTTTGGACGCGATAAGTTGTATGAAAACCCGGTAGCCATTGACTGCTGCTTGACCTGAGGGAAAAGGTACCATGGCATAAGTACTAAGTTTGCTCGGATGAGGTTGGGACGGGGTTGGGGTGGTTTAATTAACCCTAATCCTTTACGATATTTTGGTTAGAAACCCTGCCAAACGCAGCAACATGCAACAGTTGTCAAAAATTAAAGCCTGCTCAGTGTAGCAAGATCCATCAGGTCAAAAGTCTAAAGGCCAAACTGCCTCAGAGTCTGTGTTCACCGAATGCAGCAGGATACAACTGTGGCATTGTTCAATGGGACTAGCTCTCATTGTTTCAGAACTGGCCGTTTATGCACTGGTGTTGATAGCTAAATGCATCAAAGGTACACCAGACTTGTTTCCACCTGATGCACTGTGCTGCGTCTGGCAAGGTTAGGATTAACTACTTAAGGTGTTCAGCTGGTGGGGGTGAAGTGGGGGAGAGATGGACATGGGGATCTGAGAAGAGTGGAGTATTAGGGAAGGGTTTAAATAGGGCAAGGGATGGGGTTGGGAAATGGTAAGGTGGGGGAAGGGGTGGGATAGGGACATGGTAGTGGGGGGGGGGGGGGCAAAGGGTGGGGCAAAGGGTGGGGGCAATGGGTGGGGGTAGAGGGTGGGGAGGAAATGGGCTATAATTTCACAAGGGCTGCAAGTCCACAAAGGCTACAATTTTCACAAGGGCTTCAATTTCATAGCTACGATGCTATGCTGCCACAACCGAAACCTGTCAGCACCCACGTCATCTTCAGACTATTTTTAGGCATCAACCCTATTAATACTTGTTTACCTTTGCCGAGATCCCCGGCTAGCTCCCTGATGCAGTAGTCAAAGAACGCCTTCAGCATGTCGGCGTTGTAGCTCTTCAGTGTGGCGTTCAAGAAGTCCAACAAGTGTTTGCTTGTTTTGCTTAACGGATAAGCTGCCAACGAGAAACAACACCAATTTGATCCTTCAAGCATAATTTGGGAATGAAGCAAGGTATTGCCAGAAGTCCTACTGGATGTGCCTTAAACCACATCACAATGTTTGTCCTTTTCTTGTAAACAGACCTTTTTTTTGCTTTTGATCAACTCTGTATATAACTATTTGTCCTGCATACATAAAAAAAAAAGATTCCTGCAAATGGGACAAGTCTTTCCTCAGAAGCAGTGTAGGGATAAATTTATGTGACAGATTAACCCTAATGCCGACAGATTAACCCTAAATGCATGTAGTGTTACAATAATTACCCTGGATTGGACATTTGGGAGACATCCCCATAGGCTTGTGCACAAAGATTTTCAAACTTAAATGTGCCCTAACCCAATATTCCCTTGTCCTTTTTCCCACAAATTTCGGTATGTTTACTAATTAGACCACGAGCAACAAATATAACCTAATTGCGACAATAAAACTGTGCCTCTAAAGGAGGGCTGTGACATTAGGGAGACATGAAAATGTCTCCCTAATGACCGATGTCTCCCATCGTGCGAAGAAATTATGATAACGTGTCTCCTTAGTGGTACCTTTACACATATAGTGGTGTTTATTTCCAATAAGTAAGTATTCAATCATTCTAACTTGGACTTGATCGAATATTCAAATGTTCAAAGTGAGCCAGTCTAAACTGGTCGCTGATCAGGATTCTGAAGTCTGTGAAATCCTTCAAAATCTTCTGAATTTTGATTGATCTGGTAGGTTTCAAACTTATTGTTTTTGTTTTATGTCAGATTGATGTAGACGATATGAAGTGTCTGAGTTTCTTGCACTCTCATCAGGACGAGAATGCCTTTAATTTTCACAAAATAATTTGTATAATTTAACCCTAACTCATTTTTGCTAGGATGCAACTTCAATCTTGCAAAATTCTCCAACTGCCTCCACTTAAAAACTGCATACAGCCTCAATCCTGCAAAATCCTCCAGCAATCACTGTCAATATGTTGAGGCAGAGCCAGTGACATCCTGGAGCAGTGCGGAGGATTTCAAGTATAATGTACACCTAAACTCATGAATGGCTGGGCATAAACAACACAAGGTCCGGCCCAAGACCTTGACACAGTGCATCCTACAAAATCAGCCACACATTTTTGCCATAATAGCCTCAAAATCCTCAATTTTGCAAAGAGGATTTTGGAAGATTTGGGAAGGTTAGGGTTTGGCAACATGTGAAGGTTGAATGTTCATACTGCGAAGATTAAATGTTGATATTAAAAAGGTTAAAGGGAATGTACAACATTTGCTTTTGCTGCAATTTTCAGAAATAAATGGATTTGGAGGATTAGTATGTTATAGCAAATATTGTTAAAATGACTTGTTTCACGATTTGGGCTTGTGTAGATGCTGGAAAAACCAAGAAAACCAATCATGTTCTTGTAGTCTGGTTCCCTGACCCCACTTAAGATGAAACAGAGCAATTTATAAACTTTGCAGAATTGTAAGGTCAGGGATCAGTCCAGCAGGCTTGGACCCCTTCACAGGTGTGTAATCAATTGCAAAGAAAACGCGGAATAACTAATTATGAAAAATTAGGAGCACTTTCTGAAAAAAGCCAGTTTTCTCCAACGCTGGTCAGCCGACCAGCGTTGGAAAAATCCCATTTTTCTTGAAAATGACAGCACACCAGGAGCCACGATTTTACAGAATGTTTTAGACTGTCATTTCCTAACAATCCAGTAAGGTATTTCGTGATAAATCGATCATTTCGTTTTTGTGATGTTTGCAAATGTTGTATCTTCCCTTTAACATCAACATGTCATTACCGGGTCACCGTAGATAAAAGATAAAAGACAAATATCACAAAGTGAAAAAGCAAAGTAAATTATAAGAGTAATACAACAACAAAAACAGAAGAAGCTTGCAGTACTCACTGGGAGGTTGATCGCTGAACACTGGGTCACTCTCCTTGGTTACTAACTTTTTATTCATAAAGCCAACGATATCACCAAGCCACAACTAGAAAACAAAAAACAAAACAATAATCAAATCAATCATTGCAAATGTATCACAAAACAAGTGTATGTCTGTTTGTAAGTGCCAGTGTTGGAGCAAAGGCTTTGACCCTCAAGGCCAAGGCCAAGGCCAAGGCTTTGACCCTCAAGGCCAAGGCCAAGGCTTTGACCCTCAAGGCCAAGGCCAAGGCTTTGACCCTCAAGCCTCGAGGCCAAGGCCAAACCCTCAAGGCTAAGGCCAAGGCCAAGGCCCTGTTTTATAAAATGACCACTAATATAGAACTAATTATAGTCACATGACACATCATCACGAATCGCTCATTAAGAAGAACAACTTGTCTTTAATTGCAATCAACATGCTCGCATACACTGTTTTATGACTGCATTGTATCTATTAAAGTATAAGTTCAGGTCTTCATAAATATGGTTTAACTAAAACAAAATAGCGATTTACTTCTATATTGACGCACAATTCCAGCCTTAAGGCAGCCTTAAGGCCAAGGCCTAGCATCAAGGCACTACATCACTGGTAAGTGCTTGAATACAGGTTATTCCCCTTCAACAAATGACAGGGTTAGCTTCAGAGAAGGGCACTGGACTTTAATCAAATTGTTGGTACTTTTGAACGTGTATTGGGAAGTAGTAAAGACCCATTTGCTATATTGACGTAGTTTGTCTGTTTGTTTGTTTGTTTATTTCCATACGTGTTTGCTGCATGTATGTTCATAGCCCATAGCCGGCCTGTGCAGTCACTTAATTCAATATGGGCTTACTTGCTGCACATGCGCAGTGTGAGACATCCACTAGTCTTCGCACGTTGGCGACATTTTACCAACATACTCTGGCGCTACGGTGGCATAAAATGCCCCAAATTTTCTATTATATGAGTTTTCCCAAAGTTATACCTCACAAATATATACTCAAAATAAGTTTCCAATAAAACTCACCATATAATCAACCGGGCTACATTTTTTAAAACGGAATATTCGTATAATTTTTTTTAATCATAATGCATAAGGAGCAAATCAATAATTGTGAATAGAAAAACAAATGTAGCTCCCTATTTATCAACTGGAAGGGAACATTGACATTGCTGGCTTCACTTCCATAGGTCTCACTTATTCCTAAAAACTCAGATTTTTAAATAAAATAAATATTGTGATCAACGAAAACTAGTTGTGACAATTGCAAACGAAAGAGAAAAAGAGAAAAATCCGTGACAAGGCAGAAGAACGCATTTAAATTTCTTTTATATTTCAAAGAATCTTACCGATCTTGACTCCGGGCATCTCGTCTGGACGTCATTCAGCTGAGCCTTCAGCTCTCTGGGATCCAGCGCTTTCAATGCCTCCACCAGATTTTCAAATCCCTTCTCGGCCTTTCGAGCCGGCTCTTTATCCTTCTTCTTCTTCTGCTGCTGCTGCTGCCCACCGCCGGGTGCCTTCTTTGAGGCGTCGCCGGCGGCCTTTTTACCAGAGGGGCTGTCGGGGTCTGCCCGGGTGGAGGGCTGGGGATCCTGTGCATTCTGCTTTTGGCTGAAGGCATCAAAGACCGTTTCTGATTCTTTCAAAGGGACTAGTTCAGGAAGGAAAAAGGAAAAATAACAAATAAATCAATCAAAATATAAACGACAGACACTGACGAAATTGAAAATTAGTCTACATAATTTTTGATTGAAAGTTAGTCTCCAAAATTGTATAATTTGGAAATGAGTAGTCTTATAAGCACTATGAATGATAGCAATGACCACAAAACACACTACGAAAATGAAGATGGCAATCCTACGAGAAAGTGAATGGACACAAATTGTCAACTGCATTGGCCATTGATTCGTGTGAATAAAATAATAATTTTCGGTCAAAATACCTACCGTTAAAAACCTTGAAAACTGGGGGGAAGGTACATTGCCTTTAATAGGAAAGACTGTAGTATCCAGACGCCACTTCTTTGGTTGTGTACAAATTCTATTGATAGTGGAGTGCACTTTCAGAGTATTTTCTGACAAAATTGAAAATGTTTCTCAGTCCCAGATTCATGTCTTTTTAACAATTTTGGACTGACTGACCTTTATTGAGATTTATATGATGATAAAAGTGGCGTCAGAATGCAACATTCTTACCTGCTTTTGTAATTGTATGCAGAACTTATTTTGGTACAACAAACCATTTTAGAACTCGTGAAGGAGATATAGATCTTCAATACTAAACTAGTAATGGACGATCATGTAGTATAAGGCAATAGTGAAAATTTTCGTGAAATTTCATGTTGAAATTTTGATACACAAATGTGTGCAAATGAATCTGGCAATTTCACGAAAAATAGACATCTGAAAAAAGGCAGCACTTTCTGATTAGCCTATAAAGAGGGCGAGTATGCTTCTAAGGCAAAAATAAACTACAAACTAGGCCTAAATGTGAAAATCAAAATTTGACAAAGTTCTACATGTGGAAAAAATTCCGTACTCGGACGTCACTTTTTTCAATTAATTTTTCTAGCGCCAAAAGTTACATCTTTTATGGTTATTCCTCCACTTTCCCTCCTCTACTCTCACCTTTCCTTAATTTCTATTTATTAATCAGTCAGTTACTTCATCGGGATTCGAACCTCTGACGCTTGCTTGATACACGAGACTCTTAACCGCTAGGCCGCGCACGATCGCTGTTGCAATAATCAATCTTTGGACGTATTTGAAGTATCCATTGAAATAAACTAAATATTCATGAGAAAATAAATATTCATAATGACGTATTGCACTATCATTGGCAGGCTCATGCGACGTCATGGTTGTTGATGTCACGTGTATAACGTACCGCTGTCTTTCAGCCACTACAATCAGTTTTGACCGGCTGCTTCAAGTTAGTTCTGCATGACGTATGCATCCAAAATGTGCTCTAAAAACACATTTTGAGTAAATTTTTTTCACCTTAACACAGCTTCCTGGATTTCTCTTGGTTCAAAGGACAAGGTGAGGTGACAATTAATTACTCCTAGAACTATGAGGCTCCGCGTGAGCGGAGCCTCATAGATCAAGAAGCCCGCAAAATTGCCTGCAGCACAAAACACTAATAAAGTACAAAAACGTCCATCAAAATGCAGCCATTTCACACAGAACCGCTGCACAGGTTGCCCTATACTCCGTACTTTATCTCTTGACATACTCACGTATCTTGTGCGGAACTAACATAGGTGGATTCTGTCGGTTTTTAGGCCAAAATGATGAAAAATATGCCCTTTCCGCACTGAGCCAACCTGACACTTGAAACGTGCATGCATATGATCGAGCGATGATTTTCGGTTCGCTCGGAGCGCGCCGCGGGGGGTACGGTACAAGCCCGTCATTTCGCTTGTACCGTACCCCCCGCGGCGCGCTCCGAGCGAACCGAAAATCATCGCTCGATCATATGCGTGCACGTTTCAAGTGTCAGGTTGGCTCAGTGCGGAAAGGGCATATTTTTCATCATTTTGGCCTAAAAACCGACAGAATCCACCTATGTTAGTTCCGCACAAGATACGTGAGTATGTCAAGAGATAAAGTACGGAGTATAGGGGCAAACTGTGCAGCGGTTCTGTGTGAAATGGCTGCATTTTGATGGACGTTTTTGTACTTTATTAGTGTTTTGTGCTGCAGGCAATTTTGCGGGCTTCTTGATCTATGAGGCTCCGCTCACGCGGAGCCTCATAGTTCTAGGAGTAACAATTAATATGTTTGGCAGCAGATAAATTGACGTCCGAGTATGGAACTTTTCCCCTTTTTTTCCAAAAGATGATTTTTGAATGATAAAAAACACCCTTGACTCTAATTTGATCGAAACTAAAGAGGGGCCCTACACTAGAAGTAGCTATGTACTATTCCGTCGCGTCGATTGCCTACTACTTGGCGTAGACCGGAAACTGGGCAGCCTGGCTGCAGTAAGCATATGGACAGAAAATATGTTTAGTCAGCTCCTTTCCGATTATCGGAAACAAATCGATCTTATCCGCAATATTTCCCAGAAAGCACTCACCTGCTACATCCAATGTCTGCGCAGTGTTTGCAAAGTTTTTCCTGGCCGCCTTTTTGTCTGAAGTGGAAGCTTTCTTCTTTTTGGAGACAGTCTCCCATTTGTTCACGTTTTCTACATTGAAGGTCGCCATGTTGGATTTTCACTAAATTATTTTCGCTGGTTCCCGTCATAATTCTCCGCATCGACGCACGCACGGTACGGGTACCTGCTTGTACGATGAGTTGTGTGTGTTGGGAAGGGTGGGCGTGGCTCCAAACTTGCGGAGGGGAATTTGAGCTATGCCGTCTCAGTTCTATTTGTTCATTCTGATGAATTTGTTGCCATGCAAAAAATCATACAATAAAGGCATATGTACTACAAAACGAATTAGTTATTTGCTTGTTGGTGTGCTTGTGTGTCGCGGGGTATTTTTGGGGGCGGGGTTATAGTATATTATCACCCGGGGGGGGGGGGGGGCGGAAAACTTTTAAGAGCGTTTCTGAAGCTTTTATAATAGTAGATCATTAATACTGCAAAATCAATAAGAACAATCCAAATTTAAACTTTTTCTAATCTTTAATGAGGCATATGCCCAATGCTCTGATCAGTTTTCGTTAAGATAGGATATTATTTGGGGGGGGGGGGGGGAATCAGCCTTAATTAAACAAAGGAAATACGGACTATTTAAGAATTTTCACAATAAGCCTAGATTCAAACTGGCAAAAAGCATACGACAAACTGCTTACCGACTTTACTTACCCGAAATATACCACACTCCTAGGATTGGAACCACTGACCTCCAACTTACGATTTCTAAATAATTTTTTTTGGGCCTATAGTTAGGCCTATGTATTAAAATACAATAGGCCAATAATTCGTTTTTATGCAATAAGCTCGAGCAACTCCGCGGAAGGCGTTAATTATTTTGGGGCACCGGGGCACAAAATTATGCTTATAATAGTGTGTAGTCAACGAGTGCATGGATAAATTATTTCAAGGGGTGTGATGGGGGGATGGGGGTGTGGTGGTGGTGGCGGGGGGGGGGGTTCAGTTGAGAGGGTGGGTGCAGAGAACTCATTCCCCATTCCCACCCCTGTTTCATTGGCGTACTCCCAGGAGTCCGTAATATGCGTAATTGCCTACGTCATACATGCAATACGGTGGCGATTCAATTGGTAATTATCAAGATAAAACCTCATTTACCTACAGGTAGACAGATTATGATGCTATTATCCCCATGCAGCTATCTACGTCTCTTCGCCTGACTTTAAAAAAAAACGTACTCTGTGAACGGCGTTCACCCAAAAAATATATTTTTACGGGATGGATAATGCACCAACGAGTAATAAAATGTTATCAAACAAAAGTACAATTTGATGATGTCATAATTCTATGGAAGCCGTATGATAACATTATTTTTGATGAATGGTAATTTCCATATGGGACATCTACAATCCTTGCCGAATCTCGCTGCCCCCCCCCCCCCAGCCCCTGTTCAATGTTGTCTCTCATTGCGCGGTGTGTGCTCCATCAGCTGGAGAGAACAACATTGGCCGGGGGAGCGGGGGAGCGGGTGACTGTTGTTAGGCTCAGGAAGTGTCCCAATCATTTTGGCCGGGATTGTAGAAACACATTTTCGTTTCCTTTTTGTTTTTTCTTCAAAACGTCCGTATTTTCTTGAAATAGTACTGATGGAGTTGAGAATCTGTATCTCTCCAAATACAAACAGTATAGTCAGGCGCGGATACACAGGGGGTTCGAACCCCAACCCCTCCCCACCCAGCTGGAACCCCCCCCCCCCCCTGCTCTGACACACGCAGAATAGGCTAAATATTACAAACATGATCAGATCGGATATAGAAATCTAACGAGCCTGGACCCCCATCCCGCCAAAATTCAAAATAGCCTACATAGTAATAAGTGTTCATTGTTGCGTAACGATAAGTAGCGCACGTATAGGCCTACTACTAACAAGGCTGCCGTATACAATTGACTCATTACTGCCCGAAACGGCGACTTCAATTGACTTCAAAATCTTGTTCTTCAAATCTGTTCGTCCATGAAGCCAAAACAGATGCCTATTATTAAGACAAGTTATTTTTGAGGAGAATTCTAAGGAAGCCTGGTGGCCGAGTGGTTAGATTCATCGTCCACGAATCGCGGAGTCCGGGATCGAATCCTGTCGGTGTCTTTTTGCTTTTCAACACACGCGTTCTATTCAGTCATATAAGATGTTTAATTTCCCGTCGTAAGATACCAACTGTACCTTAGCTTAATCGGTAAGCTCTGCGGCTGGTACTGTCCGTGAGTTCCAGGTTGGCACCTTCGTACAGGTTCAGGGCATGTGGTCCACTCGGAGGATCAGGGCTTAGGGTGCCGCCCTGTTCCTCCCTTAGCTCTTTGCTTTTACATGGTGACTGGCCCTCCGGGGTTACATGGATGGACAGGGAAGAAAGTGTGTATTGGTCGGGGACACCGAGACCCCGGAAGAGAACTAAGGGGTTGGCTGGGGCATTGTTATGGCTCAGACCGACCCCTGAAAGCTTGGCTAGCACATAACTTTTTGATTTTTTTAGCCTCTACTTTTTAAAACTTTGGTTTAATTAGTTTCATGATTACATCTGCTCGACAGGCCTATGGTAGCATTAAAAACAAAACAAAGGTCTATGTAATAAATCAATGAATTTTTAATAATTTACTAAATAATCAAAACGAAGTTTTGTTCCATCAATATGACTATGCCATTATTAATGTCGCAATTTTCAATTGAAGTAAGAAACGCAGTATGCAGTATTGTGCCGGGCAAAAATAAAAATGTACATTGTAATGTGTTTATTACATGTTTCAAAATTATAACGTTTATTTAATTGTGAACATTCCCCAAATATACAGATATTCGCAAAATAGGAAAACGCAAGAAAACAAAGCCCCTCACCTTAAAACTGGAAATACAAAATAGAAAAACAAAGTCAAGTGAAAAACCCCATGTACCTTAAGGATTGAATTGGAAAATTCCATAACATGGGGCTTTTACAGACTTGCCTTTGACTTGCCAAATGAAGTTGCTGTAGGTCATGTAGGATGAGAAAATGAAATGGGGTAAGAAATTATTGTTGGAGTCCCCAGAATGTGGGAAGGCCTGTGGGCCACGACCAAGCAGCTAGGCAGCAGGATATCAGCCGATGGCTCGTCCGTTCATAAGTTGCCTTTTGACACCTTGGGGGGGGGGGGGGGGGGGTTGTACAGTTGCAAATTGCAACCAGCGACAGATTTTATAAGAGCGAGCCGGGAGGGGGGGGGGGGGAGCGCGAAGGGGCCGGCGACATCATCGGAAAAAGCGAGCCACGTCAGTCGGCAGCGATGGAGAGCGCCACCTACTGTCCGAGAGCGTCCATATAAGGGCCCGCTTTTAACAGTGTCCCTATATGGGTGCAATAAAGACCCCAATGATAAATGGCCCCACTTCAGATAGTCAGGAATTATTCTCACAATTTACGAGACACACATCAAGCTTAAAGCTTATTTCATGGTCTTTCATTAACTTGATGAACAAGTTTGGGAGAAATTTCCACCCGAATATAATCATCCCTTAAAATATAGTCCTGAAGCCCATCGCCATTTTGAAAAACGGTGCCCACACTCCATTGCAAAAGAGAGCGCTTTTAGGGCCCCAATTTCATCCAAATTGTACAGAAATACAAGCTCACGTTCCAGTACGAATCCTCAAGTTCATGGCCCACAGTGTGCTCAAATACTGCATAATTATGAGGGCATGTAAATCGTATTTTGGCCGGCGTAGGCAATTTCGGACCGATTTACTGGCCTGTACCTACAATCCTTGCCAAATCTCGCTGGGCCCCCATCCTCGCGATCCCCCAGCCCCCGTTCAATTTTGTCTCTCATTGCGCGGTGTGTGCTCCATCAGCTGGGGAGAACAACATTCAGACCGGGGGAGCGGGGGAGTGGGTGACCGTGGCAGGCTCAAGAAGTGTCCCAACCATTTTGGCTGGGATTGTAGATTCAGCATGTCCAGGTGAGAGGGGCCCAAGTAAAATTTACACCGTTTCACTTAATTGATTGTATACTGGATCTAGGGACTGACATGGAATGGGGTAAAAAGGAGTGGATTAAGAAATAGTCAGGCTTTAATGTGATATATAATTACATAAAAGGAAAAAAAAACACTGAACAGTGTTGATTATTAATTTGTTTTATGAATGTGCACTTTTTTGGGCACACTCGGTATATGCCACTCGACTATCACACTTATACAGCAGTAATGTTTTTAATTTGTGGACAATCGACACTTACACAAAACAGACACATTTGGCTGCCATAGATCTGTGCAAAGCCTGAACCATCAGCGCTTATTTATTTATTTTTCAACACGAACACGCAACATGTACACCTCGAAAAATTGTCGTCCTCTTATGAGGCAAATATGCACAAAAAAATTTGCTACTCGCTATAGGAATCCAATTTTCATACAATTTTTTTCACAAGTTGTTTGTTCTTAACAATAATTATTTATATCTACGTATACCCCAGTGATTTGGTGGAAAAAGGGTACTATTTACAAAGGTTGACATGTTATACAAGCGTTTGTACGTAATTATAAAACACGGTTGGTATAGAAAAGAACCTTTTGCGCCACACGCATGCGCACAAGCATCCACTTTTGGTTATGATCCGTCTTCTCCAGATCATTTCTTGTTTTACAAAAAGAATCATGCGTTAATTAAATAATAAATGATAAGGATCGGAAAATGAATATTTAGGATGGGGATTTTTCTGGACATTTTCACGAACCAATATAACACAGAATTACGTTTGTAAACCTTTTTCCCCCCATGGTGGAAATTAATACAATTGATCGGGATTACAAAGTAGGCCTATACGTTTATCTTTTAGATAAATTTAAAAAAATACACTTCTATTGATTAAGTGGATTTATCCAGATTGTTTCCATGGTTTCATAACTGTGAGAATAATGTTATCAATTTTCATGACGTTGGTCTCATATGCTTTCAATAATCAAGGCCAGCGCGTTCCTTGACCAAAAGCCATGCAAATTTTGGAAGGAACTTTTTCAGTAAGCGACGGTCGATTTTTTTAGGACCTCATTTTCCAAAACAAATCAAAAGTGTTTCTGAAACTTTTACAGGGAAAAATTGAGAGATAT